GAACCACACAAACATGCACACACTCTGCTGCTGTAGTCGGAGTTTACAACCCACCAGAGGGCAATGTTTGGTATCTAATGCTTCACATAACTGAGATTATGCTAATGTTATATGTATAACTTATGACTTCTACAGTATACAGTGATAGTTACTCACTCTGAGGGAGGGTTGAGGTCCTCTGACCTGGTCTCAAAGAACTTAAGAACCTCCTCACTTTGAGAAATATGGGAGGGAAGCTTCATCAAAGCCTGGGGGAGAGAAGGGAGGTAAAGAGCTACTGTTTGCAGAAAAAAACATATTTAAAATGTTCCATGGATAAAAGTATTGTAGTTATTTTGAATGGCAATGAGTAACCAGCTTCAAACACTTAGTCACTGTACAGTCACTCAGACGAGAAGACCAGGCGGAGATGTGAAGGGTGTGGAGGGGAAGGAAGGAGGCTCTGAGCACAGAGTGAGGGTTAAAACAAAGGGAAACACACAGGGGTGATACCTATAGTATAATAACAGCCTGTCTCAGCTGTGTACACATTCAAAATGAGATGCTGCAACACGCTTAAAGACAGCCTTATTAAAACAATATTAGAAAAGAATCTGGTTTTGTTGTCTTTAAGCTTCTTACCCTCACAGAAAATCTTGTTCTTCTAAAAGAAAACTGGTGCCACACTTGGCAACACACCTGCTGCACATTCCCTTCCCTAACCTACTGAATATAATAGGGTCAGGTAGCCGTCTGCACTGCTACACATTAAGTCTGCTGATTCATTCCTATTCATTGGATTCCGTTTTACCCCTCTGTGCCCCCAATTCCCTCTTTTCCTTTATAGGCTGCCTATTTACATTGGTGACAGGAAATGACCAGTGCAGATAGAGCAGTTGCTTTCCTGTTGAGGCTGGTGGGGAAGATAAATGCTGAGGTCTGTCTTGAAAATACTGTGGCAAATGTTCAGGGAGCAAAAGACTGACATATATAAAGTGCTCTTCCAGCCAGCACATGAACCAACAATGAGTAGTCAACATTTACTGTCCTAGAAGACAAGATGTATGGTGCTAAAAGTGCTTATTTTATGAACTCAAAAGTGGGTAAAGTGCATTTCTGAGAACATTATGAGTCAGATAGCCTTTGTCTTACTTTGCAGTAATTATCCAGGTGCTTCAGCCTTTTGACGGCTACATCTCTGATGTGACTTCGGCGAAACAACACTTTACCTGAGGAAAAACAGAGCACACTTACTGCATACATCTTCACAAATATTAAAAGAGAACAATTAAACTTTCAGATAGTCAAACACACTCATTAAAAAGCCTACTATTTATTAGGCATTTTAAAAATTGCCAGTCTGGATGAAGGGACAAAATAGTAGCACTTGAAAAAGTTGCACTAAAAGTTGTAAAGTAGAGGATTTTTTAAAATCAATTATTCACTGATTCTAAAGGCAAAATGACACTGGCTGGGATCAAACAGCATAGCTTGTCTAACAAAAGATCTCTTCACTGTTCCCTGCTTTGTCCCACAAGGAGTCCATCAGACTAGACAAATTGCTCTGTGCTAACCACCTACTGACATGCAGACCGCAAAATGATCTGGCCTGGGTGGGGTACAGCAGTTAAAAAGACAAAGCAGTATGGTAGGCTATGCTATGGAGGATGTAGGAGTTCTAACAAACATCAGTTGTGCATGAAAATGATGAAGGTCTTTCTTTTGCTCTCCTGGATAAATCTAAATTTTATGTGAGAGTGATATACATGCTAGGCTGCACTGTGTTTTATCACCTGGCAAAAAAGGTATAATCCTCTTTTTGGGGTCCTTCTGCCCTCCTTCAATTGGGAATTTGTCAAGAATTCGCATCTGTAAAAGTGAAGGAGAAAGTCACGAGTTACAAACACAAGTTGTGCAGCAAGACAACTTGTTGGAGCATTTTTGACACGTGGCAATATAAACGGCCAGCAGGCAAGTTTTTTAATTAAAGTTGAAAGTGGAGGAACCTGGAATGAGAACAGAAACAAAAAAAAAAGGGTTTGCAAACTCTCCAGGAACAATTAACCTCTCTGTTATGGTCCATGAGTTCAACACAGGGCATAATTGCATATCGCCTGAAAGGTTACTGTGTTGTGAAACTACCAACAGTTTCACTTTGATCTGTGGGGCACCAGACTAGGTTGCATCATCCACACTTATCTGTAAAGAAAAATCAAAGCAAGTTCCATTTAAGGGGCTTAAAAAGTCAGAGGAGTTAATTAACACTTTGATATTAAGACTTGACACTACAATTGTCCATTTACAGGATCGATCTGCTGAGAGATACAGTGCAAGACTAAATAGACAATGGGAAATCGATACAAAGCATGCTGTGTCGGGTCTTTTATGATGACAGCATATAGCTATTTCCTTCCACATGGTGCAATTTGTAACTGTTTCCACATCTGTCTCCTTGTATATATGTGAATCTATCCCATGTGTACAAGGAACATGTGCGCATGATGTATATGAGCTTGTTTGTTTAAGTGCAGAAATAAACATGTAATATAAATGCATTAATCCAAGTGTCTGTATCACAGACAAGAGCTTCTACTTTCCTCTTTAAATAAATCATGGTAATACCATAAATGCACACACACGAGCATCTTACAGTAACAGCAAACTCAAATCCAGATGTAGCCCCACCTTTGTCAATTCTGCCTTGCCTTGTTCCAGATGTGCTCTACTAAACAGCAAAGGCTGCGAGTGCCAAACTAAAGCACATTCAACTCTGAGGTGACCAGGGGACTACTCTCAGTTTGGACCGAGCCAAACAGAACTAGGTGGAGAAACAGAATCAAGCTTGACGCGGAAGCTGGATCCACTCAGTCTGGACCTGCAGTTGTTTGTTTCTTCAGTAAGAGGTGGTTTGGTTTCTCTACTTGTGGTTCTTTCTTTCCTGTACTCATCTGCTGCCTTTGCTAAATCTCTACATTTGGCTCAGGGCATGGTGTTTCCCCCCTCCTCCGCAATAGCAACAGCAAACGAGAAATGGTTTGTTGTGAAGAGGACGGCCACCCATATTGTGTTTTAAGGAATAAGTAAAGGGCTGAGTATAAAGAACAGCTCTGGTTAACCACACCTGCACACATGTCACAGCAAGAGTTCTGATCTTACTGAGAATAGAGTTTTATACTCCTAAAACTGAAAAGACAAGACATCCAATATGTATACAAGCCAGACTTTTTTTTATTTTATTTTTTCCAAAACTCAGTTTTTGTAAAGGTACACTGACAACTTTATTGTTTGCCTGACAGACTACACTGCACACTCATCATGCTGTCAACTTCCCAGCTGGATGTAGCCATATACTCCCTCTAAGACGGGAGTGTTCACTCAACACCTTTAGAAATGAGAGACTTCTCATCAAGCGGCAGTGATGACATCACCTCCTGGGACCTGCCTGGACAGACTCACAGCTCCACGGGACAGGTGTGAAAGCTGTTTCTGTGGCAACAGCCCAGCAACTTGGAGCCATATTCTGAGAGGAAATATTTCTCACAATTCATACACCATTAATTCAGAAGCATCCAGGAACAGAGATCCTGTATTTACTCTTTATTGCTCTACTAAACAAAATTCTTCAGCGTTAGCCAAGTGTCCCCACTGGGAAAATGAATATGTCCATGTAGCAACAGGTGCTATGATCCAACCACATTTGCCTCTCTCAGTGTTGAGAATAAATGCCAGTCGAAGAAAAAGCAATAAACATATCTCTGTTTTGGCATGATGCCACTGTGGACATAAATTATGGTGTCAGGAAAAACTCAGACAGCTTCTGTACACTGTAACGATAATCACATGAAGCATTTAACCTTAGCTGCACTGACAGGAGTGGGGAGGGAGAAACAGACAAAGAGACACTGCACTGTGCAGCAGATAAAGAAACAGTTGAGAAAGGCATCTCAGACAGGGGGAGTTTGGAGGAACGTTGGAGTAGGAAAGCAATGTGATTCCAACTCTGGGTTGTGTTTTGGCATCTACGTGACAGTTGTTTACTGCAGAGAGATTATGGTGCAACAACTTCCTTTGGTCAGAAACTGTCTCAGATTCATTTACTGGTAAGCTGTGAGTAAATGTTGTTAGAAAGGTTGAATTGTCATCATTATCAGGAAACGATACACACTCACATTTAAATTAACCTGTTCATCTTTGGAAACTGACTATAATCATATTATTCATTAAGAAAAGAAACTCCAGTGATTGTTGAGGTCATTTCTCAAGCTAAACTGATGGTTCAAGGTTCTCAAATGTGAAAATTCACTGCTTTTCTTTGTCCCATATGATAGTAAATTGAATATTTTGGGGAGTTGGACTACCCTATTCATTAAAAAAAAATCTAAGATATTATTGTAATTTTTCACTGTTGTCTGATATTTCTTTGACTAAATCATTAATTGATTAATTGCAAAAATAATAAGATTAATCAATATTGAAATTTATCATTAACTGTTGCTCTAATTTAGAAAGTTTTTTTTAACTGTTTATCATTAATCTGACAATATTATACTATAGTAGAGTAATAAATCGGTCAAGTACTCTTAAATAATTCACTTCTGATCTTCCACAGCCATTTGTTTGTCTTCCCTCATTTGCCTACAAAGATGCCCATGTTTAACACAAACAGTTTTTTTGAAAGAAATAACCTCAATAAAATCCCATTTTATGTCGAGAATGTAGGCCAGAGAAATTATAACGGGTCCAATTCCCCAATCCAAAAATAATGATTACTAAGGGGTTCTCAAGAGCTGTCCAACAGGAAAGCAGGCCAGGTTTCACACCCCACAGTCCCCCTGTGGAATCCTGTGACCCATGTGTGCTGCCCACTGTGGTTAAAGGGTCTGGATGAGTAAGACCTCACTCTCTCTGTATGGCAGTAAACTCTGCTTGACACACTGACCAATTCTGCTCACGTCAAACATGTGCGAGCCAAAACCATTTCCCTCCGATTTGAGAAACAGCCTTTAATGGAATTCAGGCTCAGCAGTATTCAGCCTGTAAACAAATGGATCCAAACAAGGAATTAATGGACTTAACTCTGCACATCCATTAGAAAAAGCCCCCTTCACTTTAGGTCAGCAGAAAAGACAAAGAGAGGAGGAGCTAGATAAAAAGGAGGAGCTCTGACAATTTATGATAATTACTTCCCAGAGGACCAGTTATGAGCTCTGTTTAGTGCACTAGAGAGGTTTAAAATGTTAGCAGTAAGTGCACTTTTGGAAATCCATTTGGCAGTGGAAATTGATACTTGTTCTTTAAAAGACAAACAGCAAAGCTGCCTGTTGCTTGACAGGGCTTTATATGGCCAACTGTATAGTGCTGACTGAAGTTAGACATAATACAAACAATCGGCCACGCTTAAAAGACATGTCTTGTTCTGTGACCTTACTTAGCTTTTCATTCTGAATTAATAGTTACCGGATGAGATCATGGTCACATTTGTCAGGCCAAGGGTGTCAAATGCATTTTTTTCTCTGTCAAATCTAGCGAACATAAAACATCCAATTGTGCAACAAAGACAGAGAGCTGTGCAGAGCTCAGAAAGGACTGTAGGTGTCAGTTGGCAGGCGCACAATCACAAAAATCTCAGTTTTTGCCTCGAGAAATGACAACTCTATTAATACAGACCCTCGAAAAGTGAGAGCACAGATCGACCGTCATCGCTTAGCTTTGCTGAAATCATAAAGAGACATCCAGCAGTGAAATAGTTGTGTGATCTCAATCTCCAAAGCAAAGCATCTTCCTTTAGTCATTAAATCCAAGCTGTACAAACTGTTCATTACACCTAACCTACAACGTCCTCCTTAATTCATCCAGAGCATTCTGAACTTGGTCCATGCATTACCTAAACCACATCCTCCTTCTGTAGGAAACTTAGTGCAAATCTCTCTGGTGGAGCCATTTTCCACAAAATAATTTTCTGTAACACTTTAGGGTGTCTGCAGCTATCAGTGTGCGTCACACTGCACACTCCATCTTTTACCTGCATGTCTATATCCATTTAACTACAAATTAAACACACAATCCCTCCCTTTTTGTATGGACAGCTGCAGACTGTTCTTCACAGATTAACAGGACCAGGCAAACACACCCCGGCAGAGGGATCTATGAACAGGATTCATGTTTATAGAGACAAGAGAGATTTTCTGTTTCCATCAAAAAGACTAGGGCAGAATTTTCCTGGCTATTAGCAAGAGACCAGAGAACAAAGGGCTTCCTCTGCTGCCTCAACACGGCCAGCCCACCAGAGTCACAGCATTGTAGAGTGTGTCTGCCTGAGAGGGTTAACAAACAATAGTTAGAGTCAACCTTTTACAAGAATAAATTACCAGAAGCCATTGGATCACTCAAAAAAAATCCCAAGGCATAACTTTGCCCTATGCTGTATTCTGCTTTCCGACAGAGCCCAACTTTTCTTCCTGCATCTGTGGACTAGATTTCCCCCATTTCCCTATTTCCAGGCAGGTTCTGAGAGCCTTAAATGAGATCTTTCACTAAACTAACTCCTGGCAGCTGAATAGAATGAAGTGACCCAAAGGTCAAACTGACCTCAGAATTGAATATGGCAACAAGAAGAAGACTTACAATTAAAGCTGCTGAAGTAGTTGGCTATTCTGATAGTGTAACATACCTGTAGGCCAAAGAATTTGCTGTATCTCCTGTAGATGACATGGGAAGTGGAGTCTGAGTAAGTGACGTTGATAAGGTACACCTAGTGAGAGAGGCACAAACAAAAGAGGCCCATTACGAACAAAGCCACTTAGTGAAAGACATCATGGCACCGCTTCATCTTGACTTGCCCTATTGACACAAAGTGCATTCCCTCCTGACTTAACTTCAAGGTGTCATCAAAGGTCAGATAAACTCATTACGTTCCTCTGTTTCAGTCACACTGGAAAGCCGTCAGGAGTCAGTGAGAGGGCAAATAGCTTTCAAGCATTTTGTCATTTATTAAGACCAATCAAAAATGGAAATATCATTTCATTAGCAGACATTAGTCAATTAAAGAATAAAACACTGTTCATGGAACTTTTCCCAAAATAAACTGTCTGTTTGTTTCAGCAATAAAGGGCCCTCAAATAATCGTGCAGGCCCTGAGGTTTGGAGACAGATGACTGCACCTCATGCATTTCCATTTTAGCACATGGCAGACAAAAGCAGTATTTTCATATGGTGGCAATCTGCATGGACATCAGTTACTAGTTTGAAATGCAGTCTTCATTCTGCATGCTGTTCTACACTGAGAGTGTGCAGTGAGGCGGAGCGAGAGCTCCAGACGTTAGCTAATTAGATGCAGCCAGTATGACCACTCTGAATTCAGGGAACAGCATGGCTCAAAATGAGGGTGTGTGAGGTCAAGGTACATCCCATATGAACCATAAACCCGATCCATGTTTTAAGGTGACTCTATATCTTATGCAAAAGGAAATAATCTGAGATCAACACATATTATGACGACAGTATTGCACACATTACAAATATTTTTGGTAATGCCAGGAACCTATTGTGATGGTTACAGCCAACGTTTCTAATCCATCATGAGCCCACTGCAATTTAGACAAAAGGAGTGGACTCTTTACAGTGGATTCAAAACAAGTAACAAGACAGCAATTGGCACAAAGACTGATGACTTGCCACTGGATCTCATCTCTCTTGAAAGGGTTCCCCCCCTTGCAATATATGTAAACAAGGATTAGTTGTCATGCACCCTCTGGCTCCAGTACCATGAGTTGCTGAAAGGAAGTCACACTTGAACAGTGAGGACAAAAGACAAAGGGTTGCTTCTTTCCTCAAACCGGATAAGCATTTTCAGTTGCTTAGCTCATAGATAATGAGATTTTTTTTTTCTTCCTCTTCTTCCCCTGTGGGACTTCCCAGTCAACCCTCACCTTCAGCTTCCATCCCCAGAGAAAATGTGTGCCTTGTGTTTAGTGGCCTCAGGGAGCCTCACTCAGCAAGAGATGGATGATGCAATTGATCCAAACTCTCAGGTTAATTAATATAATTGTACCTGATGCACTGATTGATTTTTGCAGCCCCACTGAGACATGTCTTGTGGCTCATCAGATATAATTGCTCAAGTCATTCAGATAGGCTGCCAGCCTGTCCACAGTGCACCCCGCCTTTCACCCAATGTGCGCTAGTATTGACTCCAGCCCCCCATGACCCTCTTCAGGATAAGAAGTATCGATACTGGATAGATTGATGGATTAAGATAACACCAAGATCAGTCTACACAGCCAAACAAGTGTGCAGCCATGCTAGCAGTTGCCAGAGGCACAACTGTACAGTGGCACTTATGCTAAATGCCAGCATAAGAATGCCAATACACTAACAATGACCATTCCAACATGTTGATGTGTTATTGTTAAATGACATCTTTTTTATGTTGTAGCCACACTTTGTTTCAGACATCCAACAACTAATGGTTGGATTGCCTAGTTTGAACTTTCATGGTCTCCAGATGATGAATTATACTGCCACTATTAACCCTGTGATTATTAACACCAACAGGTTCACTTATCCAGTAAGTTGTGTCTGTTGTACTTAAGCTGTGAGACCAATTGTCAGTCAAAAATGGACACAATATACTGTCTGACTATGAGACTATTACAGTAAGTATTCAATGCCAGTGCCTCAAGTATCAGATAATTACAGGCAGTAAATATAACAAACTGTGAACAAGAGATAAATCTTCATGCCTGTGATAATACATGGTGATCTTATATCTAAAACTATTATTTCCTCTGTTTAAAAGGCTCTCGCCTCCCCTGGTTCTGTTTTCTAAGGCACCTTTGACAACAAACAAATTTACATATGTTACTCTTCCAGCAAGTACCACCTGTTTTACTCTCTACTGGTGAAGAACCACCTCTAACATCTAACTATCAGCTATCTCTGATGCTGCCTGACTGCTCCACAACCAGCCTGTACATCAACTTTGCCTTAACTACCTCAGTACACTACACACTCTACTGATTATAAGAGGGATATACACCACACGTGTGTATAACCAAAGTATGTAAGAGTCTAATTACTGTGTAATACTAGGTAATGACATGTTTTCCTAATGAGGCAGATGTTTTAATCTTGTTTCTAACTGCCACAATAAGAAAGATGTCAGATAAATAGCAGGTTCTTTGTCATCTGGGTTTGTTTAATCCCAGAATCTCTGACAATGAAAACATGTCTATAGCCAGTGATGACAAGCATTAGAACTGAGATTTTGGCTGGATGCTGGCACTAGATAAAAAAGTGATTTCAGTGTGACTTTGACTGGTTGCCAACTGACTCTCACTGGGATGCAAGCGCCAGAATTCTGTTCTGAATGTAAAATGATCAATGCAATTTCATTCCCTCTGAGCTGCTATCACTCAGGGAACATGCACATTCACTTAGTAACTGCACTCACTAAAAATGTGTTAATTAAAACCACTTGTGAAATCTGTTCAAAATATCTACAAATGTAAAATAGCTACTTGCTAAACATGACAGATGAAACACAGTCCAAAGAGGCAACTTACATAGTGTTTGGAGGGATTCCTTCTCTTCTGCACATCCACAACATTAACGCCAAGGACCGTTCGAAGCTTCATCTTGACGGAGAAAAGAGGAGTTGCACCAAGAAACACTATAAACAGTACAAAGGTAGAGATTCACCCATGAAATCAATACTGAATATCAAAACCCATAATGGACCTGCCGTGTGATGACACTGAAGAGAGAAGTTTGATTAAAGGGGGGGAAACTCAGCACTCAGGCTCTGGGTGCATCCGTAAAACGTTGGTGTCCAGCGGTCTGGGAGCTTCTGAAGTCCTTGTGAAACATGACAATACAATAAAAGTGGCGTTAATCAGCCTTCCCCTCCCTCCACAGGGGCTGGGCTGCACCGCCGCTGCGAACCACAGGCACAGGGGCAGTGCGAGTCGATAGGACGGGGCGGTCCCGCTCCGGCTGGATGGACACACGGCAGGACTGTAAGAAGAAGGGAAGTCAAACTGTTAGAAACTGTAAAGGTCTGTCTGTTCCAAAGTACATTTACCTTTGCATAAAAAGCTGATGAAAACAGAATAGAATTGCCGCATTAGGTAGGTAGGTTTTTTTTTAAAAGCATCGAAGGAAAGCACAGGTAGCCTACGAAAAACACTGATGTTTGAGGTTTTGGTGTGTTACATCTTTGGGGCAACCTATAATAGCCTACTGTATTCAGATGTAGGGCCTCATTTTTATCTTAAAAAACAACCATGCCTTAAAACGCAAGTTTCAAAATGAGAGATTATATAGAAACGTCCTCTTTCTCAACTTTGGTGACAAGCACATAACTTAACAAACTTCCATTCACTTTGACGTTTAGGTTATGTTTTTTTTTTTTATTGAAACAAAGTAACACATTAACAAAACAGTACCGAACATGGGAGACAAGACAACAGATACATGACATTACAAAAATAGAGTTCTTTACAAGATTGAAACGCAAGAAAGGGGAAAGGAGGGAAAATGAATAAATAAATAAATAAATACCAATGATAATGATGATAACAGTACTGCTAATAAAATAAGCTTGTTAAATTTTTACAGGTTGGTGGGAATGTGCGTGGCCTCAGCCCCAGGTGTTTGGTTCAAATTGAAATGTGTTAGAAATGAATTCCATGTGTCATAAAAAAGCTGATAAACTATTCTTGTGGGTGGATGTCATTTTCTCTAATGTGGTGTATTCTATCAGAAGGTTGGTCCAGTGGTTTATGTGTAGTGGTTTTTTTTAATTCCCAGTTTTGAAAGATTGTTTTCTTGGCAATAGCTAGAGAAATGATGAGTTTATTTCAGCGTTATATTAGGGATTCGGACAGCACTTAACCTCGTTAGATGGCAAATGACTTTGCTCCCTCCTAGTGGAGGAGGCATGAGCAATGGGTTGAACAATAACATAATATTTAGTAGTTCGTCCCACGTGGTGGCGCTACACATTAGAGAAAGTGATATCCCCTTTCAGTAAAACGTATAAAAGCAAATAAACATTTATGTTTTTGAATGTGTGCTCTGCGCGTATGGGACGCAAAGAACATCCATTCAAGTACTGTGTTTAAGTACAAATCTGAGGTACAAAAGCTGCTAGAGTAGGTTACAAGTAAACCGTTATTAAGGACAGTAGGCCTAGTCGAGAAAAAATTTGCGTCATCTTTTTTGTTACATCATCTGAGTCCTTACAATTGTGGCGACCTACGGCGGCTATTGGGGAGGGGTCTGGCGGCAGCGACATGATGCATGGGGGCATCATGGGAGCTCAGCGACTAGTTCGGGGAACAGTCGTAAAAGTGTTTTATTGTGTTCTGATGTGTTACCCTGTTGTGTCATCTTAATGAATTATACTGCTATGTGTTTTGCTAGCTAGTTGTGTGCTGTGTTCTGAACCATAAGTCTAAGTTGTATGTGTAAAACTGACCCTGTTGGGAATGTGATGTGTGGTGCGGTTCTGTGTTCTAAATAAATGACCAGAAAGACAGAGTTGCATGAGCACGTCCTGCCGTGTAGATCCAGGAAACAGATACCGCTAATCATCTCGGCAAGTTAGCTAGTATTAGGCCAACTGAGAGCGGATATATCGATGTGTCCTCCTGTGCATAACGTTACGTTTTCTGTGTTTTTTCAGCAACATAAAGTCAACCTACTAAAATGTACATTTGCACCATATAATGACAATACATTCTGTGGAAAATGCGCTTCATTCATCGAAACATAACCGAGTGCCGAGCGGTCCATAAGGTCACTTCCTGCAAAGCAAGCACCATTTCTCCATTAACACTCCCAATAATACAAATAGCACAAAATACAACTAATACCACATTGTCTGTGTGATTGTTGCAATGGAATTTATCGTCGCGCTTTTCTACTAATTTCAGACTACAAAAGTACGACGCTTTTATTTTGAAGGTTTTGAACGGAACTTCAATACACACATTAGCTAGCTTGACTGACCTGCTAACTTCCATGTAGTCAGTCAGCCGAAGCATGAGGTCTTTACACTCTGTTTAATTCTCAGTAACGGTAGTTAGTTAAATATTGAAAATGTGGTGTTAAGTGAGCTGATATAGTCGGTATTTGCTGTCACTTCTTAAGTCGTTTACAAGGGAATCACTAGCTTGTAACCAGCCAGCGAACTCTCGCCTGTAACGTTATTCTTCACCTCAACGATCAACACTGCTAGCTACGATGTGATCGTGAATTATAGCTGTCGAGGGTAGTTACGGTTGATATTGTCATAACCGAATGGCTACAGTAGCATCACGTTTGTCTTCTTTTAACGTCTGAATGCTGTTATTTCGATAACTATCTGAGGTCCGCGTCTGGAGGATCCGCTATATTCTCGCGGTGGAAATCACCGAAGAGACCGCATCCACAGCACTGTAGTTCACATCAAGGAAGATGTCTTTCTTCAATTTTCGCAAGATATTCAAGTTAGGGCCCGATAAGAAGAAGAAGCAGTATGAACATGTACACAGAGACGTTAACCCAGAGGAAATCTGGGAGATGGTTGGGGAACTGGGAGATGGAGCGTTTGGCAAAGTGTACAAGGTAATGTGTCACATCCTCTTTAGGATTTTCTAACCCATTAGGCCACTTAAGTTAAGACAGCCGCTTCCATTGTGTTTCATGCTGTTGCATGCAGGCCATAAGATATAGGTTAACGTTAAAATGACAGCGGTGACAGCACAGTCTTGCATCAGGCCACGTCCTCTAGGCCACCCAGACCCTCAGCAACTAAACATTTTGGCTTCACATGCATCCTATCACTGTTAACGTAATGGATCCTATACACCACCTTACCTGTTACCTGCTGCCTGTTACATTTTCCTGTGAAGCAAATGCAAAGAAACGCGACCTGGGGCTGTGCTTATAGTGATAGCTTAACGTGACCTCTTAAGTGTGTTTGCATTTGTCATTTTGGAGCTTTGGGGCAGGCCCTGTTGCAGCGTCAGGATTTAAATATGACTTTGCCATGTCATTGAGTTGCACTTGGCCTTAGTCAAACAGCTGAGGGCGCGGTTTACTTTCACCGAATAATAATGGCCTTACAAATGCCAAACTGGACTGAGCTGCTCTGAGAAATCACAAGACACAAACAAACAGTAAAAATCAGACCAGACTTGCAGAATTAGTGATTTGTGAGAATGGACTTTGTGTACAAAGACAAGGGTAGTTGGTTAATACAATACACTGTCACAGATAAAAAGTTGTATATGTGTACATTTAATGCAGTGTTTAACAGTGCGTCACTCCAAGTTGATGGTCTAGTTGCTACACCAACACAACATATGACACAATACCTGCAGCACCAACACATGGTATTGCAATTTAAACTATACCAAAGCACATCTACCACTGTGGAGATCTTTGTTCATATATCTCTGTACTGTATGTTTGTTGAGTGGAAGTTAAATGGACTTTTTTAAAGATAATTTTAAAACATCTTTACACAACAGGTTATTATCAGATGAGAAATGTCATCATTGTAGTATTTAGTTGGAATGAAGGATTCTCTGTCCCTTCATCAGTTCAGGACTCATTAGGCCTATTGACAGCTTTGTGTATGTGTTTGGGGTGTAAAATGTATGTATTCCCATGGTAGAACTCTTGTAATTTACATATCAGTGATACAGCTATATCTCACAATGTACACACAGAGGGGCGGGGAGGAATTAGAGTCACCACATGTTGCACATTTCATCAATTCTTTCACAGGCTTTTGGTGGTTGCCTCACTTGGGCAGGGTGACAAAGATTGCCAGCAAAGTGTGAATCATCTGTTTATAGAGAGTGAATGAGAAGAGTTCAGACCGCATATACACATCTAGCACAGGTTGCCCTGCTTTAATTATTAAGGAGGGGTACCATAGACTATTGTTAGGGCTAGGAGCTAATACAAACTGCTTGCACAGTTCTGTTTACATGGCCAGTCAGTTCACTGAGTTGGATGTAATGTGCCTAAGTTATAGAGATACAAGTTGAATTCTCCTTCCAAGTACTAGTGTGAGATGTATCATTATTACAATTTATTCACCATCAGTCAGGTCAAATTATTTGCTTGTCTTAAGAGATCAGATGCAAAATTGCCTTATTTATTAAAAACAAATGGATGTGTCTCATTCAAACATTATTACACCCACAATCCCTTGCAATTAACCCCATCAAAACAGAGAAGTGTTAACATGTCCTATACACAATGACCCAAGGCCACAGATTGCACTTGAATAAGTCAGTGACGTACAAATTGGCACTGCCCTCTCCATCATGAAGCTAATAGTGAATATGCATATGTACTAACGATGGCATGTGCTAGACAGGCGTCAGCCAGTACAAGGGGAAGAGGTGAGTGTGTCAGGTCAGAACCGTGTTAATATAGGGTCTGACATCCTCTGCTGCAGTTGCTCCTACCACTCCCTCCCATTTCTTTTTCCTTAACTCCCCGAGATTGTGTCTGTATCCATAAACACTGAGTCCAAACCTGCCCTTAAAATAGCTTCCCAGCTACTAGTTTTACAGGGTGTGGTCATTGTTTTGTATTAGTCTCTTTGGTGAAGCATAATCAGGATTTAAGACTGTAGGGTATAAGTTACCAATATAGACGAGCATAAGCCAGTTCACTAGTCAGACACCTGTTAACCAAAGTCATAGATCTGTTAAGTATAATCTTTAAATTACTGCCACTGGACTTGGCATTTAGTAGGTGTTTCAAAGTGAAAGAACAAAGAGAGGGTAGAAAAGGAAGAGGAGGAAGTAAGCAGGTTTCACACTGAGTTTTTGTTAGTCAGAGATGAATGGTTGCTTTGGTTGCTGTGAGTTTTCTACAGTAATTTTCCTTTTCAGTATATAACACTGTCGATCATGAAGTCTCTAAGAAATGTATTTATTGAGCTTTCCTCTAGGATTTCTTTTAGCTACACAAGCCCAACCAGTACTTCAATGTTTGTTGCTCTAGCTCTAAAATGGCTTTCATCTTAAATGAAATTATTAATGTTGAGAGATATTCTCCCACAGTAGCATCTGTACAGTGCCAGCAATGTCAGAAACATACAGACTAACACATGCAGTTGATACGGTCCCATTATTTGTTCTGTTTTCTGTAATAATTTATACACTACCTATTGCTGTTGTTGTTGCTGCTGCTTTTTTAGGCTCAGAACAAGCAGAATGGGACCCTCGCTGCTGCAAAGGTTATCGACACAAAAACAGAGGATGAACTGGAAGATTACATGGTAGAGATTGAAATTCTGGCCTCCTGCAACCATTATCACATCGTCAAACTGCTGGATGCCTTCTATTTTGAAGGAAAACTTTGGGTAAGTAAGCAATTGTCTGACTGAGAGAACGTTTTTTCATGTTTACTGTTGATTTGAAGCCAAGCAGACACAGAGGCGGTGAACCAGACGTGTGGAGACACACAGTTTCATCACAAGCCGTTATTCGTTTCTTAACGGAGTCTTATATCATTCAATTAAAGGATAACAGCAGTTCCTGTTGCTGGCATTTGAACAGTTTAAAACCAGTCAGGTGACACAGTCAGAGGTTAGAACGAGGCTTGGACTGTCCCACAGGATTCCCTGACCACCTAAAAATCTCAGCTCATAATCTAGAAAAAAATTACATATATATCATTTAATTTAAAATGATGTATTGTGCTTATAAATGAAGCAGATAATATGCTTCTCCAATGTAGGTCTAAGGAATTTTCTGATAACATTTGGAGCCTGACGTCTGGCTGTATAGTCGACACTTTGACCGTCTACTTGTATTCGTACAGACTGTAAGCAATGAATATGGTTTTAAGACTAAAATTCTATAAACCCATTTTTAAGAGTCCAAATTCTGGTTTTGGATCAAGCTGTTTTACTGTGAGCAGAGAGTTGTTTTAATACATGGTCAGTAGATCCCATTCTGTGTGCAGTAAGAGGCCCCAGAGCAATTAAGTCCAGGCAGGTGGTGTCATGTGGCCGTCCCTTGTGGACTGGCCACATCTATGGGAAGATAATGGAGTGGTTCTGGTGGCTGGAGAAAGTGCCTGTGAATAATTCAGAACTGCATGCAGGTTCCCTGCGGCCTCAGTTTTTAAACTTCGTGATGAGCGTGTAACTGCGTCTGCTTTGCATGCGTTATATTTTCCTTCTTTTTCTACTGTAGATTAGTCAAAGATAATATGTTAAAAAGAATGGATTTGCATATGTGATGTTCAGTTTAACCTGAGATTATGATCAGCAGAAGTTGTCACCTATCATAATCACAGGAATGTAAAAGTGTAACTCCCACGGCATGATAATTTTCAGGCAGAACAGGAACAACTGCCTGGTTTCTTATTTTGGAGTCCTTGAATAGAGGGCGGTGCTCAGTTGTGGCTTTGATTGATTTTTGTCTATTATCTGATACCCTGAGCTGCCAAGTAATGTGCTGGCAAGGCCAATATAGATGAAGTGGTGGTTGGATACACTGCATCAGCTATTACATCTGAGGTCAGGAAATACATCTCAGTTACAGTATTAGGGAACAGTGTTATTTTCTTCTAATGTGCTGCGGTTTCTTAGAGTAAAATCAAATGTGCCTTTTGAGCTGGTAAATCCATTGCTCTTGCATAATTAGACAGCAGGTCACTTGGTTTATTTATTTCAGATGACTACTGTTTTGAAAACACCTCTTCTGTGTATTGTATTATATGGTCAAATATAAACTTTTATACGATATTATGTAGACTTTTCACTGTGCAGTTCATAAACATATGAGGAGATCACTGACTTACTTCCTCAGAATATTCCCCCTCCATATGTTCCTTTAATACAAACTGTATATTGTTTCAAGAGAGTATTAGTAGATAGAACAGTTGTTCAGCAGTGAAGTTCTCTGTACTCGTATGATATTTTTATTTGTACGAAATGTACTACTTCACAAAAAGAGGAACTACTTTTTCACCAGAATGTATGGTGAAATATCTAGGATGTGACTCGTACAGTATGTGGACATACACTCAAAGCATTAACTACTGTGCATTTGTAACATGAAAATCTTCTATAACAGGCACATATTAAAGAAACCATGAGGAGAGGATCTCAGTCACTCACATCCAATCATATTTTATTTATGTAGCGCACAAATTCGCCACAGGGAGCTTTACAATCAGTACAGCGTGCGTCACCCACTGTCCTTAAACCCTGAAATCGAATAAGGAAAACTCTTCCAAAAAACCTTTGAAGTCATTGTTTTCAGCACAGAACTACAACCTCTACTGACACTTTGTTCCAACAAGATTATCCTGAAATAGGGGTGTGCAATGTATATCGTCTACGATCCATACATTCACTGTGTCATGAAGCCTTGTAGGATAAACTGCCGCACCTGTGCATTGAGAGTGCACATTAGCTAAAATTGCATTAGTGAAGTTAAAAGCGAGTGAACAGACAGCACGAGGAGACTAAATTGAGACATAAAAAGCCTGGAAGTCTATGTCAATTTAATTGCTAGACATGCATCATCCTCACTCACATGGAGGTATTTTGGCTTTGAAAGACTGCTCTGTGCTCAACAAAGGGCAATCTGCAGTGCAAACTGTGTTGGAAATCGGTTGCCGTTAAATACAACTCAACAGCTTGTTTCAACCACCTGCATATGGACTAACCACCAAACAGAATGTGAAACGCGTCAGGAGATGGGTGTTCACAACAAGACTAAACCAGCCAAGGTACCAGCACAAAAACCCACAGCAAGCTTTAGCAGAAAAACTCTGCAAGAAGGGATTTCGCTGTTTTTGTAGGCCACTGTTTTACTTGAATAGTTCAGTTTTAAGTAATTAGTATATGAAATATGTTGTTTCCATTAGGTAACAACAATTAATATGCTATTATTAAGAGCAACCTACCACAATATAAGACTTTTGAAGGATGCAAAATATTGTCTGCTTATCGTTATTGACCATCTTTTTGCCAATATTGCACACCCCTATCCTGAAATGGAGAAGAGACAGTGCTATAGAAGATGCTCAGTATGTGTTCATGCTTCTTGGCATGTCTCCACAGTGCAATCAGTAACATAGAATAGAGGTGCTGATGTGTTTCCAACAGAGGTCATATTGTTCACCTACTTCAGTTAACAGTGCCAGAGGTTCCTCCTTTAAGCGAATAATATGCTATGAGAGTAGTTAAATTGGAGCTTCATCATAATACAGTACGTGTTATTTATTGTTCTGCTTTTGTTTTGTTTTTCCTTTGCAGATTCTGATTGAGTTCTGTGCGGGTGGTGCAGTGGATGCCATCATGTTGGGTAAGTCCCTCTTTCACCGAAGGAAACAGAAAAAAAACTATTAAATTTTGGAGCTTATTCTGTGCTCCATCTTCATGTGCCAACTCTTTTTGTTCCATCCAGAAGCCTCTTTGTGGATTTTTCCTCCTCTCCCCAGTTGGTGGGGCCATTCCAACTATGCAGTTATTGTTGCTCAGATTTCAAGGAGTGGCTAGTCCACGTCTAACGTCTGCAGTTTCTCTGTCTTATTGTGAAGCTTAAAGAAATACATCACCACTTTTTCTTCTGTGCAAATTATCATGGCAAAAGGAATACCAGTTAATTCACTCCACAGTTGGAGGTTGATGCATCCTGCCCTGTGGCGTGACTCACCTAAAATGTCTTCTCCCAGATTTGTCCAGTCATACGGGCCGGCTGGTGTAAAGGTGGAGTTTTGTCCTCTAGTTTCTATTGGAAACTATTAGACCATCACATTTTATGTTAATATCCACACGACCCAGACAGTTTTTGCAAAAGTGCACCACAAAAACTACAGTAACAACATATGAACTAGAAAAAAATGTGACTTGTGAATTAAATGTGCATGTGTATCCACAGAACTGGAGAGGCCCCTGACAGAGCCTCAGATCCGTGCGGTGTGTAGGCAGACCTTGGAGGCCTTGTCTTACCTCCATGAGAACAAGGTCATCCACAGAGATCTGAAAGCTGGCAACATCCTCCTTTCCTTGGATGGAGATGTGAAACTGGGTAAAAACAAACTCGCACCTTTTGCTTTCCATTTGCCACTGTAGAGCACTGTATAGTAGAAGCAAATGTTAATAAAAAGATACTTGCTAGCTGAGTCATTGCTGATTTCTCTCTTGATATATGTCCTTGGTTGACAGTTTGCAGTGTTTGCTTATGATAAAACTAGAATGAGTCATTCATGTAAAGCCAAGTTCAAAAGAGTTACAAAACTGAGGCGTTCTGTGTAGCATCACAGGAGAGAAGTGTATATTTTTATGCACTGCTTATTTTTTTTTTCTTTTTACTGGAGTTGGTGATGCATCGAATTGCTTACATAATATTCCAGAAGTAAAAGTGTTTGTGTAGCTGCTGTAGCATCCATAGCTGCTGGCTCCCTGATGATTCATGTTCTGTAGGCAGAGGGTCATGGCAGAGCCTGGCAAACAATAATTATCAAGCAGCCACCAAGGATTTAATGATAGATCTCTCTGTCCCTCTAATGTGTACATACTGTCGGTGATGTGCGTAAAACGGGAGCAGGCTGAAATAGCTGCACAGGTAACAGCTGACATTTAAGTGTTATGAAAGGGAGACTGAGGCTTTTCTGCCCACTTATGCAGTTCATATTTGAAGGCTTAAAGTAGGTTAGTTAAGATAGAAATGTGCTATATGTTATTATATATCCTCTGTTCCAGTGCATTCAGTGTCATTATATAATCTAGTTTGATTCATTGATGAAAAGAATCATAATTCCTTTTCAGCTGACTTTGGGGTGTCTGCTAAAAATACCAAGACATTACAGAGAAGAGATTCTTTCATCGGCACTCCATATTGGTGAGTCATGCAGCCCATACATAAGATGGCATTCACTCCTTTCCATCTGATAATTATCTTAGTGTGTCTCACAGCTAGGGGTGATGATTTTTCTATGCGTTCTTACAAAAGATGTCTCCGTCAGGAATTTAAATGCACTTGAGTGTTGGATGACCTCAGCTTTAAATTCTATGTAGACTTCCTGTCTTTCAAATTCCAGACTGAAATGCACACACACACATACTATTTTATTGTATTTTTCTTTCCCTTGAGAGAATTGACTTTCAGCGATCAGAAAGATATCTAATAGCATGCCTGAATGCACACAACTATTTGCAGTCCAAAATGTGCTTAGTGCTAATTACAAACCCACTGACATGTTATCTTGCAGGATGGCCCCAGAGGTAGTCATGTGTGAAACATCCAAGGATCGTCCGTACGACTACAAGGCTGATATCTGGTCCCTCGGTGTCACCCTGATAGAGCTGGCGCAGGTAGAGCCGCCCAACCACGAGATGAATCCCATGAGAGTGTTGCTGAAAATAGCAAAGTCCGAGCCACCAACACTCATGCAGCCCTCTCATTGGTAAGACAGAGCATTGGTGATAACTGGAGAGGTGGCATTGGAATGTTTCTGGGTTGGAGATAAGGATATGTTGGCTGCTGAACGTGTGAAAGCATGATGAATTGTTCACTAAGGAAACTGAATTGCCACAGGGGGAAGAATTTAATTAATTCCAAGACAGGGCCAGAGACACTTGGTCTGTTTTATGGCTAGAAAACTTATTCTTATTTAATTCATTCTTGAAAGGTCACCAGAATTCAGTGACTTTCTGCGTAAAGCACTTGATAAGAATGTGGACAATAGGTGGAGTGCAGCACAGCTTCTACAGGTGAGTTGGCCTGCTCTATTCTCTCCCTACTTTTATCTTGCAGTACACAGTACTATGCCACCCACAGTAATGCATACACACTTGAGTTATAAATGTGAATGTGTCATGTTTTAAAGGGACAGCCCAACAGTTTGTGAACGATTTCAAATTTATTTTGATGTTGTCTTGTGTCCTTGTCCATCTGCATAGCATCCTTTTGTCACCAGTGTGACTGATAGCAAACCTCTCAGAGAGCTCATAGCTGAAGCCAAAGCTGAAGTCACAGAGGAGCTCGAGGATAGCAAAGAGGAAGAGGAGGAGGAGGAGTCGGATACACCTCTGGTACGTAATTTATTGACATAAGGACCTAATTTTTTTTTTTTTGTGTGTGTACACTGGTTGATATTTAAATGAATGATAACGCTGTTACCTTTTCTAGCGCTCACTAATGGCATGTTGTTTTCATATCTTTCTAACTGGTGGCTCAGGTTGCACCTGGGCACAAGAGAGCGCCATCAGATGTCAGTGTGGCCAGCTCAGAGGATGATACGGTTCCACCAACTCCCTCAACGCTGGAAGCTATTACAGAAAAGATGGAAACTAAATCTGCTGAGGACCAGACCAGTGATAAGCTCTCAGATGAAGGACTTGGAACAAGTGAAATGGACAAGACTGAGGAGGAGAAACTCAATGAGGTGTCTGATGCCAGTAATGAAGACCTGGCCTCTGGACTTATAGAGCCCACCAAGGAAATTGTCTCACAAGGTCCAATAGAACCTAAACCAGAAGATGGTCAGGTTCAAGAGATTCCTGCTCAACCCGAACTGTTACAGCCAGAAGAACCTGTAGATACATCACATATCCAAGAACTTGTCACAAATGGTCAAGAAGCCGAGGAGGAACAGGAGAGACAAGTAGAGAAAACAGAAGACGAACTTACTCGGGAAATAGAAGATGAGAGAAGACCCAAGGAAGAAAAAGAAACCGGTACAGAAGAAGCCAGATCATCGGAACCTGAAGATGCACCAGAAGAACCAGAATCAGGAGACATGGCACAGACTGAAGAAGAAACCAAAGAACTAGATGACGAGATACCTCAACACAAAGTGACAGAGGACACCGCTACTGGCACAGATATAAATATAGACACAGAGAATATAAAATCAAATCTAGCAGACACAAATATAAATGAAGACACAGACACAAAGTCAAGTGTGGATGAGTCCTCCGCTGAAGTTTTGTTGGAGGAGGAGACTATAGAAAGTAAACCAGAGGAGAAGCCTGAGGATGAGGTTCGTGAGGAGGCAGACCAGCCCGAACATGAGAATCAGACCAGTGAAGAAGCTGAACTGGAGGAACAGGCACCATCTGAATTCAAGAGTGGAGTCAGCGATGAAGCCAAAGAAACCTCTGAGGATTCAGAACAGGTGGTCCCATCTAAAGATGTCTCTGTGAAGCAAGATGAAGAGAAAGCTACTTGTGCAGATGAGAGCACTTCCCAAGATGCCGTCTCTGTCCCAGAGAGTGAAACAGATTCAGAAACCAAGATCGATCATGGAAGTCCTGCTGTAAGCAAACCAGATGTGGAGAAAGACACTGACTCTGGAAGCAGTTCTGCTGCTGATAGCAACAGCCTTGACCTGAATTTATCCATCTCAAGCTTCCTTTCCAAGAGCAAAGAAGGGGGTTCTGTGTCCATGCAGGTGATAGGTGCCTCACCTACAGCCTCACTTAGAGATTATGTTTTAATAACTGTGTTCCTAAAACATCCTGTTTCATTTATAGGAGTCAAAACGTCAGAAGAAGACGCTGAAAAAGACACGCAAGTTCATGGTGGATGGTGTGGAGGTCAGTGTAACAACGTCGAAGATAGTGACAGATAACGACACCAAGAGTGAGGAGATGAGGTTCCTGAGGTACGTCTGTATCCATTCGGCTTGCCGTACTTGGTTGGTCTAAATATGGGACACGAGCTATTACCGTAAACATTCCTACCTAGAATAGTTTATTCATTTCTCTACTCCCACAGCTTTTTACAAATGCTAAATGGGTTATCTCTTGCAATGAACACTGCATTATGTTACTGTCATCACCCATGTTGCCTTATAAAGACCTGAGACATGCTGCTCTGTATAACTCTTTGCTGTTAGATTCATGACCTTATGTCATAAATGCACAGAGTTAACATGTTTCAGTTTAACAGCTACTGGGCAGCTATGGATGCTACAGCAGCAACAAGAATAGTTTTACTTCTGGAATATGTTGACCAGAATCATCACACAGGAGAAGAATAGTCTCCTGTTAAATTTGAATGGGACACTACTGTTGTAATAAATGTTATCTTACATATTAGGAAAAAAAAATAAAACATAAAACCAATGAAACGAAAAATTTAAATTTCTGTCTCATTTACAACAAGCTGCTGAATTTGAGATGAGTAAATATGGCGGCACCCTGACTACACACTCTTTGTGGTTTCCTCAGGCGGCAGGAGTTGAGAGAGCTGCGCCTTCTGCAAAAAGAGGAGCAGAGGGCCCAGCAGCAGCTTAGCAACAAGCTGCAGCAGCAGAGAGAGCAGATCTACCGGCGTTTTGAACAGGAAACTACTGTGAGTACCTTTGTTCATACCGCAGTGGTATGATGGCTTTTTGGGCAACTCTGAGGAAATGAGCTGCTTCATCTTAAAGTTGATCTAAATCTGACAGAGAGACTTAGATGTAGCCAATCATTTACTCATTTAGTGTTCCTACTGGGAAGCACAAACTCTCTTTAATCAGAGGTGGTCATGATATTAGAAACTTTAATTTGAGTCTGTCATGTTGTCTTGTAGCCAGATTTATATAACACTATATAATAAAGCAGTGAAGGCCTAAAACAAACTGTAGAGATATTGGATCACATATAATACTCATTTTGTCGCTGTCTGTCTGGATTTGTCAACATAGGCTAAGAAGCGTCAATATGACCAGGAAGTGGAGAATCTTGAGAAGAAGCAGAAGCAGACCATTGAGCGACTGGAGCAGGATCACACCAGTCGGCTCCGAGACGAAGCCAAGCGCATCAAAGCGGATCAAGACAAGGAGCTTTCCAAGTTCCAAAACATGCTGAAGAACCGAAAGAAAGAGGTACAGCCATGCATGACACTTTCTGCATGGAAGGGCCTTGAGTGCGCTGACTAGCTCTGTACTGGGGGGAGCTTGGGGTCATAAGCATTTGCATGTCATACATACAAGCAGTTTAATGGTGCATGTGTTTCACAGTGTAGCTGGTGGCATACTTGGCTGTGTCATATTAACCCTGTGGGAGTGCTGTGTCTTGCTGTTCTGACTACTACTGTATGTACAGTATGTAGGTGATAGCCACAGACTGTCAGTCTTCCTCCTAAATGCTGCTAGCTACATGTTGTTGTATCCATTATTAATCTACCCTGAGACGTATGGTTGCCTCCTAAGTAAAACTGGGCTACTAAGTCTAGTTGTTATTTTTAGAAGGCTATTTAGTAAAAGATAAACTTTAGGCTACACATAAAACCCGATCATGAAGGTGTTCTGGGCTTAATGTATGCTAGGTCCTTATTAGTCATCTCTGTCTCTTCCTCTGCTTTTTGGCCTGAAATACTTTATTGGATGTTTTGGGTGTGCTTGCAGTTTGTGTGCAGCTTTTTTTATTTTAAAGCAGTTGTGCAGATCAACGTCCATTGTGCATTATGATGCAGTGGTGGTGGTTGTGCTGCTTGCAGTTTGCATTCTGGGTCATTTAGAGTATATTTTCAGTATACTGACAAATATTATCATAGCACAGGTTGCTTCTGCTGTCAGCTGTCTACTTTGTTGTTTAGCTGCAAAAATACAAGCCATTGCCTACTGATAAAATGCGTAGTTTTTCTGTACTTTGTTTCTGCAGTGTTGTATTATTTATTTGAAATGTACTGTTGCTGTGTATTTTAACTAACCATGTCTCTTGTATGAGTGTGTGAGGTGGCTTTGGTCATGGGATGGCCAGACTTTTCAAGATTTTTCTAGGTGGTGGCCCATTTGGTGAAATACCTTGTATCAGAGTAACTGATCTGGAATAGTTTTTATCACAGAGTCAGCAATTAATCGATGAATTGATCAGAAATCAATCAAGTATTTAGGTAATTGGTTCATCATATAGTACAAGAAAAATGCCAAATATCACCTTGTTTCTTCTTTTCAAATGTAAGGATTTGTTGCATTTCTTTGTCTTATGACAGTAACTGAATATTTTGGGGTTTTGGACAATTTGAAGACACTGCCTTCATATTAGGGAAGAGCCCTAGATTCCAGTAAATAGATATATATCAAATCTAATCTGCATTCAGTTAGAAACTGAGAGTTTGTGAGCAGTCCACAAGTCAGGACTGTTGAACGTTCAGATTCCAACTCAGTTACTCTGCTCTTTTAATTTAAACAGTCACAATAATGACCTTGACGGCTGTGGGACTTACTGAATACATAGTAATACAGGGGGAGGTGTTTTTGAGACTAACATTTTCTGCCATGCACCAGTCAAATCTTTCTTTTAAGAAATTCTTGACTCGACTCTAACTTGTGCAGTTTAAATAGACATTTCTAACATTCTCTGAAAAGCTACTAATCAAAAGACTGACCGATTAGCTCAAGGGAACATCTGTTGCAGGCCATGGGATCTGAGCATGTTGACTTTAAATCAGTTGGTGGCTGGATGCAGTATCTCTCCTCAAAGTGGGCCGTGCATGTCTCCTAATGTTACTTGCCAGCTTTGTTAGATTTGCAGAATATCGACCGGTTTGTTCGCACACACTGTAGGTCAAACAGGAAGTTGGACAGTCCCCCAAACATATGAGAAAAGACCTAATGAAACGCTTAAAGGAAGACCTTTCACTCCTTAAGACTGCAGAGGTAAACCAACACCTACTGACTCTTACTCTGTGAAAAAGTAAGAGATTACCTTTTGTCTCCCTTTCTCCTTTTCTACACTGTCCCTATAACCTGATCCATTCAGGTAAGATATTCATATACACACACATAAATGGCTTCTGTCTGCAATTGCTCTACATTTGCTACCTCGTGCACTGGTTTAAGCAAAAGTTACTAGCTTGACTTGTCTTTGGGTTTTGAATTGTTGAAGACAGTAAATTGTGATGTTATGACATTTTATAGACTGATTAATTGAGAAAATAAGCAGCAGAATAATCGATAATGAAAAGAAGTACTAGCAAAATGACGTGCACCGTGGCAAATTTGATCCTTTAAAAATGCCCAAACTGGAACAAAAAGTGTACTATCCACGACGTGTATGCTGCTGTTTATTAAACATCCCACAGTTTCACTTTGCTCCTGAAATTACAGTTGGGTCATGTTACACTTGTCAGTTGTGATGTAAAATGATCATTTGCGAGTGTCCACTCTCGATTTACTACCCACCGCCCAGTGTTTATCGTGAATTAATGAACCCGAGAGCGATTGTAGACACGGCATTTGTTTCCTCTGTAGACATCTGCACTAAAAACCTTGACTAAACTTTCCTTTACATCTTTTATGAGTTAGACATACATTGTGAATGAACCCCTTCTTTTCTTTGAAAGGTAACTGTATTCACACTCCATGAGCCAGTAGCTTAGAAAGTAATAAAACTGCTGGAATTATGAGCCACTTTCAAGCATGAGAGGATGAGAAGAGTATTAATGACTTATTAACTGACTTCCTCCTAACATTTATGCATTAATGTGCTGTGCACTGTAAACTCACCGATGATCCCAAAGAGGAAAAAAGGGCCATCTCATATAAAACTTAGGAAGAATCAGTGTGTGTGCGCTGCTGTGTGTGTGTGTGTGTGTTGCTGTGTGCTCCCTGATCAGGGCGAGTGCGTCGTGTGCTCTCCTCCGCAGGCAGTGGCCCAGGTTATGATACAGTCTTTTCAGTTGTCCTCATGCGCACTCTTCAACGCTCAGATGCAGGATGTAAGTGTGCCCCCCCCGCCCTGTTCCTCTAAGTCTCTAGCCCATACTTAGATGTGTGCAAAGTGAATTGACAGGACAGCTTGTGATGATTCAATCTTACTTTAGCATGACACATGTAAGCATGGGCAGGGTTACTGTTTTTTTTTTTTTTTTTGGTGTTGTCATCACTGTGTTTGTGCAGTGGTTCTCTCTCTGCCTCTCCTGCTCAGTACTTCCTCCACCAGTCCACAAATGTTTTACATCTAATTTGTGTATTTTATATGGTGTTCATATTTGTATGAGAATAGACTGAAACATGTACAGCGCTCTGTCCCAGAGGTGGTGTAGTTGTTGATCTTGTGTCTGGATCCATGTTTGTTTCTGTCAGCAAATGTCCACATATAGACTAACTGCCTTATGGGGTGGATGCAAAGCCACTTGTATTTTGCATAATTTACTTGTGGTATCACATTTTAACCATCCTATCTTGGATTCAACAGTATAATAATTATGTTACCTAGGTTTTCTATTGATAAAGTAAATTCTGGTTAATTATATGATCAGTTATGCCTAATAATAGGTAGGTAATAGCAGTACATAACCTACAATTTGCCACCAGCTATTAGAAGTCTACTGTAGTAGGGGATTGCATCTTTTTAAATTGTGTAAAGACAGAACGGGAAATTAAATAAATAGATAATTTTGACTCTATGTAATGAGCCAAACATTATGTAGGCTGATGTAAATGTCAGTGTAGTTGCTGTCTCACATAAAAGTGTGAAACTGAATCTCTGAACTGTTAACTTTTCTTTCTTTCTCTCTTCACCTCCATTGTGGATTGTAGCCATCCATGATCTTTGAGTGTCTCCTCTGCTGATGCCAGTTGATGGTGTGACATGTTAGTGCTCTGTGTTGACCTGAAGTGGATGGCTTGACTAGTCTTTTCTCTCTCTACTCTTGGCTGTCCCTCTGTGTGATTCCCATGGCGTCCTCTGGCTGTTTTTTCACTGATCTTCCTGTGTCGCTTCTCAGGAGCAGGAGTTCCTACAGAAGCAGCAGCAAGAGCTGGACGGCGCGCTAAAGAAGATCATTCAGCAGCATAAACTGGAGATCGCCACTATTGAGAGAGACTGTCTCAACCACAAGCAGCAGCTGATGAGAGGTAGCAGATGGGGAAAGAACTTTTTACTACAAAGTCTTTACATTGCTGACTTTTCTAAAAGCATAGTTTAGTTCTGAATCTACATTTCTGACTGCTAGTTTCCATTTATTTCAGTGTAATATGAAAATCATATTGTAGAGATTTGAAACTGGCTCAAGATATAAAGTCCATTGCAAGGGATGTTCAGTCTGTTTTTCTGCCAGGGTATTTATCATTGCATAGTGAAGCTGATAAAATCATTAATTGATGTGAAGCATGCTGCTGTGCTGACACCTGTGGTTCTGAGTTTGTGAGAATGCAGCTAAAGACTAGTTATTAGTCCATGCTTAAATCATGTTGCTATTACATTAGACAAAAATGGTAACATGATGTGACAGACTACCTGCCAGGCAGTCAACTGAAGCATCATGTTATTGTTTCAGGTCTCAGTGTTTGTTTTTATAACAGACATGAATCTAACACCTGCCAGAAAACTAGAAAAATGTTTGGGTTTTTTTTTTTGAGTCACTCTCAACTTGGAGGTTAGTGGTATGTCAGTGACGCCTTCTTTGCTCACCAGCAGTATCAATGCACTGATATGCAAGGAAATGAGAATGCAGACATGCTGTTTGAGAGGACATGTTACAGCTTGTCCAGTTTATTTACAGGTTTACAGTGTCCGTTTTGTTTTCATCACTGTACTCGTCACTGGCTAACATGCATGTACATATTTCTATCTCGTACTTACGTGGCCTTACATGTTTTTGTGTGCACCACGTGCATTTTGTAGCTCGAGAGGCAGCCATGTGGGAGTTGGAGGAGCGCCACCTGCAGGAAAAGCACCAGCAGCTGAAGCAGCAGCTGAAAGACCAGTACTTCATGCAGAGACACCAGCTGCTGAAGAGGCATGAAAAAGTAAGAGCACAAAGAGAAGTCTGCACAGAGAAATGTTCAGTGTTAATTTAATGATCCTGCAGAACTAAAAACTGTTTGTGTGTGTGTGTGTTTTACAGGAGATGGAGCAGATGCAGCGCTACAACCAACGGCTGATAGAGGAGATGAAGAACAAACAGACCCAAGAGAGGGTTCGTCTGCCCAAGATTCAGCGCAGCGAGGCCAAGACGCGCATGGCCATGTATAAGAAGAGCCTCCGCATCACCGCCACTGCAGCTGTCACCGCCGATCAGGAGAGAGAGCGGATAAAACAGGTATAGACACTGAGTGTGGACTCGCACTGCTGCTGTGTTACAACTTCTACTTGTATCAGTCAGTGAATGAACATGTACTGACTTTTTTTAGCAACACTATGTCACTCAGACACACCATTACACCTACTGTCTTTCAGCTAAAAAAGACAAGAGCTTTTACCAGCCTTGCCATTACAGGTGTTTGTTGTATTTTGTCTGTGTGGTCCAGTTTGCTTTCCAGGAAGAAAAGAGGCAGAAGAACGAGAGGCTTCATCAACACCAGAAACATGAGAACCAGATGAGGGATCTGCAGCTGCAGTGCGACTCCAACATCAGGGAGCTGCAGCAGCTACAGGTAGGGCCACAACGTACACACACACACACACACACACACACACACACACACACATTTTTATGTGTTTCAGACAACATTTTATGGAGTCCCAGACTGTTGAGTGGCCCAGCTGTTTTTACATAGCATGAACAATCCTGTTAAACTAAGGCTTAAAAGCAACACCATGAATGTTTTGTGTCTATTTACAGCAGCAGCCTCTAGTTGCCTCATTAATATGATTATTTATTTCATAGTGTTTCACTGAACACTGGGTTTCCAAACATTTAAGTACCAAGCTCACTTTCTCATCTACTTTTAATACCTAGATCATAAATAGTGGATTGTGACTGTGCTCAGGACAAGATTTTAGTTGAACCCCATGCTAATAAAAAAAAAAAGAAAGGTCAAACTCAGTAAAAACAAAGGGATATACGTACAGCATATTCCGGTGCAGATAAGGTACAGGAGTTGTTAGTCATGAGTCCAGCACATTAATCGTGTGTGTGTTTCCTTTCAGAATGAGAAATGCCACCTTCTGATTGAACACGAGACCGAAAAGTTGAAGGAGCTGGACGAGGAGCACAGCCAGGAGATAAAGGAGTGGAGAGAGAAGCTAAGACCCAGGAAGAAGGTACATTTAAAATTCATTTAATAATAACAGTCATCATCGGTACCAAGCTCCTGCACAGAGTGTGAACATCTCAGATTGTCATACTTTTTTTGTGATTATAAAGTGGTTGATTCAGTTGTTTGTATGTGCCGCCCCCTGCAGGCGTTAGAGGAGGAGTTCACACGGAAGCTCCAGGAGCAGGAGGTCTTTTTCAAGATGAGTGGTGAATCCGAATGCCTTAACCCCAACACCCAGAGTCGAGTATCCAAGTTTTACCCGATCCCAAACCTGCATAACTCTGGCTTATAGCCTCACATCTGTCTGTCTCAGCTGCGCTTACAGACTCTTCCTGGTGGAGCGATATCATTTTTCTGATGGTGACCGATAAACATGAAAATACTTTCACTGCTTTGATTCCATTCATCAGTAAGCATGATGTGCCTACGCACCGTTTTCTCAGCTTGTTGGGAAATGTCCGAAGGATAACGTGCACTCTGTGCATCTTCAAAATTTAAAGGTCTGAAGTTGGCTCATCAGATTATTGTAAACACAGCCTGCTACAGCAAGAATGACTAAAAACTGTTTGTCTTTTTTTCCCCTCCCTCTCTCTCTCTCTCTCTCTCTCACTGCAGGCCCTTTCCTGTGTTTTCTCCTCGGAGTAAATACAGTTCACCCTGAATGTTTTGCATTTAAATAGCTGCTTCAGTTCCACCCATGATCACAAGATATTGAGAGAGAGTTTGAAATATTAGTTTTGCTGCATGCAAAGCAGATCCGGTGGAGCTGTGTAGTCTAACACAACATAACTGAGAGGAATGTATTGTGTTACATGTTACCTGCATAATGAAGTTTAATTAGATACTGTGCTTACCGAGAGCGGTTTACGGTCTTGAGAGATAAGTGAACTAAAATATTTCTATTGCTTTAGCACTTAGTTGCATTCAAACACATTCCCCTGTTTAGGTGGATGGAGAGGTGAAATACATTCTCTATTAAATAAACACATCTTACCTTCTGGGAGTTATCTTCAGCGGAAATGCTTTGTTGTGAATTCTGAATACTAAAGTAATGTAAAACTTAATTTGCACTGTTTTGCCACGTGAGCTGAAAGAAAAAATATGCAATAATAAACCGTCAATCTAATTTTGACAGTCTCCCCCAAGTCTCCAAGTCCAGACTGAAGTATTTGAACTTTTTTTTTTTGCCAGCTTTTTTACCTATATTTTTTTTTTCTTGTTTTTCAAGTATGCTCATAGTATTTTATGATCAATTTCATTTTCTACACATGTACTCCTGATATATTGATGCTGTAGTCACTCTTTATGGTGAGCTTTTGCTTTTGCCGAGACCAGTAACTGTAGGAATTTCGGTGTGTGTGGAGATCTTTCACTGTATTTTACTAGCAAAATATTGATGGTTCACAAAAATGACATATTTCAAGGTAAAGATACCTGACGAGTTTATTTTAGCACTTCATATCATTACTGTATGTTATCATTTCTGTATGCCAACGTCAACATTTACTAGTGGTTTGTCATAAATGCTGGATTTTGTTCTGGGGTTATTGGAGACTGTCTTGTGAATTACACCACACACCCTATAGCTTTCAAATATTTTTTACATTTTTAGTTACAGCATTTTAATATGTTAAGTTGTCATTCTACCACAGTGGCTATTCTTAGTTTATGCATTTTTGATGTAAATCAAATCAGATATATTTAAAGTGTCTTTATAAATGGACATTTTATGTTGTAAATAAAGTATCGACTGTTTATTTGACATTTTATTTGCCTGGTCACACAATTATCAAAACTCAAAAGTCAAAAAAATAAATTTATTTGTGTGTCTTTCAAATATATCGATCAAATGTCAGTACGTTCAGTCATGTAAAACAATCTGGGAACATTTTATAATTTAATCTTTTCAACACTTAAAGGTATAAAGAAAATTTCAGTGCGTTCTTATACAAAAATATACAATCCAATCAGTCATTTCTAAGCGTCCCTATCTGTCAACCATGCAAACAATGAGTTTTACCCACTAGCCTTCTAAAGCAACTCCTCAGTTCTAACTGCAGCAACATTTTCTGTAACCTTCATCCTGACCTTCCCCTCACTGCTGCACAAATAACCCTCACTTCTACTAAGACTGTGTCACCTTCAGATAATGCATTGCTTTATATATGTAAAAATGTTCATTGAAATGTAATTTGTATGGGCTGAATGGGTATAAGCCAGGGATATTAAAGGCTGGAGTTTGGCTTGATTAATGTAGATATGACAAATATGAAACATTTTAGGGTTACCTTGATACCCTATTTAACAGTATATTAACATAGTTCTCAATACAGTATAATTCTCTAAAGACAAATTTTAAAAAAGTACACCCATCAAGTCACACAAGCAAGGGAAAAAGATGCCAAGTACAGCTGAAATATCAGAAACTGCTAGTTATTGCTTAAAAATAGATGTTCTCTAAAACCAAGCCGGCCCTGGAAACACTTTGAAGCTTCTAACTAAGGAAAGTAAACATTATACACCCACATGTCAAAGAAATGTCGTCTGTGTCACAAAAACACTGACCAGCAGCTAAATCCATCTCTCTACTGAAGCTGCTTTAAGGAGACTGATCCATTTTTTTTGGCCTGCTTTTATTTTCTCAAACTGTCCTCAGACATTTCTACAGATGGCAACAGTAAAGAGCGTTCTGATTGCTTGCATTGCTACAGTTGATCAACTAAAAACAAGATGTGTAAAGTCGAAATGAAATCTGACATGATCCAGTAGTATGTTAACCCTTTAGCCACCATTGGCTTGACGATGATTGCTCTGGCGATGACCAGCCACTTTATTACCTGCATAGGGTGGAAAAAATTGTGTAGCAGTGGGTAACGTACTTTGTTACACTGGACACTTTGGTGTGGTTTGACATCATTTAGATTATTTTACCTGTATCCCTCCTTTGCACTCTGTGTGGAATTTGGATAGTGTACGACCCTGGTAGTCCTGGTAAACCTGGCTGTCCAGGATCACCTGTAAACATGCAAAACGTTTAGACTGCTTGTCTCAAGTCACTTACCTAAAATATAACTCTGGAAAATCTGCAGTGTTCATCAGCTCTGATTGAATGTACCCTTGTCTCCTTTGGGTCCTGGGTACCCTCTGTCTCCCTTTGGTCCAGGGCTTCCTGTAGGGCCAGGAATGGTGCCATAGGCTACGCAAGACCAGAAGCACAGATTCAGTTGTGATGAAGCAATTTTCTAATTACTCTTCCACTTACATACGTCTGGATAGTTTTCCATTGTTGTACTGTACTCTATGTGGAAAATCATAACTCTATCCTCACCTCTGAAAAAGTCCATGAGGTCAGCTGTGACATTGCCATAAGCCGCAAAGACACGGCTATAACCAGGTGGTCCAGGAGGGCCGGGTGGACCAGTAGGGCCTTGAATCGCTCTTACATGTGCCCTCCAAGGACCTTCAACCAGGTACTCCTGCAGCAGGCCTTGATCTACAGGAGGATTATTAGGAAACACTGTAGTGGCATTCATATAGTCATACATCTTTGTTTTGTTTGCCAGAGATTTTAACACCCCCACCCGTCTGTAGTAACACGGTGTTAACACTGTAGTCAGTGTAGGCTGTGGGCGACACACTGAGCTGTAGTTTTTAGCCTGTATTTGTTTACATTTTTGGCAAACTGGCATCATGAAATGGCATGGTGAATTAACAATTCCTGTTTATAGTGTACCTATGGATGCACAGGTAACAATCACTCAATTACTCGTTTAATCCAATTATTACTGAAGGAAATGTAATAATGTGCTGATTCTCTGGTAAGTTCTAGAGTTACAATAAACATATTTTTCTGTGATTTTGAAGCAGATTTATGGACATTTATTTACAATAATATTCTTTCTAAGAACATCACTATCAATATCCAGAAATCTGCTTAGACATCAGGAGGGAAATGCTCCTTACAAGGGCAGCACCTGAGAATCATCATGTTTCAAAGTGTTTCTCAGTATCAAAGTGATAGTGCATCCATAGGTAATTGCAAAAAAGAACTACTAGCAACTAATTTGGCTGTCAGTTTGCAAAAAATGTACAGAAATGTATGCTAAAAAATAGAGCTTGAGTTGGAGCCCACAGCCTAACTCACTGATTCCACAGCAGCGCCCTCCAAATCATTATGGAAACTGTAGTTCCAAAGCTTAGAGCATCTCCACCATACTGAAGGAAGACATAATAATAATAGAAATGAAAAAAATCCATTAATATTAGCATTTTTCACATGAATTGTAAATAAGTACTATACAGTAAACAGCTGTAAGTGACTCACTCTTGATGTAGTCTGTAACTTTCAATGCAACATTGGAGTAGTCCAGTGTCTCCGAGAGCCTGCTTATATCAGTCGCTCGGCGCTCAGAGCCTTGGCGGGACTCGCCCTGAGAGTAGCTCTGGCTTTGTGTGTAGGTCTGGATGTAACCTGGCTCTCCACGTTCACCTTTCTGGCCCACTGGTCCTGCAGGCCCAGGAGGCCCTGAAGGTCCAGTGATGGCACGACGAACACCGTCACCTGAAAAGTAAAGTTCACCTGTAATATCTGCACTCGCCCGTGCTGTTAGGAATGGCTTTGTCAACTTGGGTTTTGATGTATGTATACACAGAGCATGTGACTGATCCAACAGGACAGCGAAAGCAGTTTCATGGAGGTTAAAGAAGTTTTATATGAATACAGAGACTGATCGTGTCTTGAATCTGTTTGTGTGGGATGGTAGGGGCTTACTGGTCAGATACTCGTGAATTTCAGCACGAATGCTTTCCCGAGGGAAGTTTCCACTGTAGGAAATTGATCCGGTGTAACTGCCTGGTGGTCCCTGTGGACCTGGGGGACCAGGAGGGCCGGGAAGACCTCTAAAGTTAGAACCTGAAAAAGATTCATTTAAGCATTTTTTTCATTCTAATTTGAGCACAAATTAAATTCCTCAGTTTATACAATGTGTTCATCCTCTCTCTGAGACTCACTCTGCAGGTAACGCTGAATATCCTCCCAGCTGTAGCCACGACCTCCCACAACAGTGGCAGTGGAGACTCCTGGCGGCCCCTGAGGGCCAGGAGGGCCAGGAGAGCCTGGGTTACCCGGAGGACCAGGAGGACCATGTTGTTGTAAACCAGAGCTAATCCATGCACGGAAGTCTGAATCTGGGTAAAGTTGGATGGTGATAAAATAAAGATGGTGAGCGAGTGGTTTGGCTAAATTTTCATTATTCTTGGAGAAAGATGATGAAGAACATCAACTAGGTCTGTTTAAAAGACCAAAACAAGATGAGCATATTTAAATCCGCTTCACTCTACAGGTGGATCAAGGTCAGTATTCTTCCATAGTCACAGCTAATAAAATGATCTTACTTCTCATCAGTTCAGAGTAGTCTATTGTAGCGGTGGCAATTCCAGAGCCTCCTGCAGCAGCAGGACCAGGAGGGCCGCGTTGACCAGGCGGCCCGGGCGGACCTCTGGCAATCCCTCGGTCTAAAAATGAAAATTTCAGCAGTTTGATTGATTCCTTAAATCAAAGCACCACCTCTAGGGTTAGCGTATTCTGTTAGCGCAAGCTGTGCTTACCATTCATGATGGTGAAGACATAACTGGCCACCTCCTCTACACTATAACTGCTTGAAAATCCTCCTGATGTCCCTGGTGGTCCCGGTGGTCCTTGTGGCCCTTGAGGCCCTGGTGCCCCTGACAAATATCTCCTCACATCATCTCCTAGACCGATCACAGCACAGAGACATGGCTTAGCTCAGCACATCCTCTCAAAAAGCAAGTGCTCAATCTTTTTTGTCTTCACAGTGAATGAGTACTCACTCTGAAGCATGGCAATGAGACCACTGACTGTCAGGGATCCAGAGCCAGCTCCTGAAGAACCCAAGCTCAGACCTGAGCCAGAGCCTGAAATTACACAACACCCATGTTACTAATTAGGCCTCCTCACTCAGTCATTTAGTATTATGGGGAAAAGAACAGGTTTACGTTGCAGGTATGTGATGACATGGCTGGCAATGGTTTCTATAGAGCCCGTGAAAGTTCCTGGAGGCCCGGGTAGACCTGGAGGTCCAGGGGGACCAGCCAGTGTGCTTCTACCTGCATGAAACAAATAGAATATATTAATACTTAGTTTGTCCCCTGACAGCCTGTCCCCTTGTGACCTTAGTTCACATAATCTCTTACTTAGATAATCACTGATGTACTGGCGCATCTCAGTAGAAGCAGCATAAGTGCCGGGCTGGCCTGGAGGGCCAGGAGGACCTGGGGGACCAGGAGGGCCTGAGGTGACTGAGACTGAACCTGAGGAAATATTTGATAGTAAAGAGCCTTCAAGAGATTACAGTGATTCAAAAAAGCCATTATTTACTATTTGTACTTTTACAAGACAAAAACACATGACATTATTGCAAGAGTAGTAAGGACTTGAATTATGATTTCCTCTACCTCTGGAAGAGCCAGAAACACCAGGAGCTCCAGTGTCCCCTTGGAAATGATTGACAACAGCAAAAGCATTAACATGATGTCAGGAACACAGCTATTTACAGGCAGTAAAATACAGACAGTAAAACATTCACAAATTTCAGTGTGATGTTAAGTTTACCTTTGATTCCTGGTGGTCCTGGACGTCCAGGAGGTCCCGGTGGACCTGGTGGTCCAATTGCCACTGTAAGAAAGAAGACATATACAGTTACAGTATGTTAGACTCTGCATTAGGCCTGCTCCCCACACACCCAGCACCTGAGGCTATCACAATGTGGCTCTAAAATATAATTTTAATGTCATTATTTGGATTTGTGTTTAGATGACGTTTGATGGACCTGCTCTTCCTGAGGTGCCGGGCTGTCCTGGTTCACCTGAGACACAGACGAAAAGTCACAGTTATCAATAATGGAAAGATTTGTTCACAAAGAGGCTACAATCACAGGGGTTAGTACAACACAAACACAAATGCAGAGTGAATGAAAATTACCTTGGTATCCTCTTGGTCCAGGAGAGCCTAAAATAATAATAATGGAAGTGACATTATCAAGTAAAATATCATAATAAAACAGAAAAAAAGAGTTACTTTAAAAAGGCAAAGTCTGATCACCTATTGATCCTTTAGGTCCAGGAGGCCCAGGTGGTCCCGGTGGTCCAGTATAAAATGTTCCTGTAAGAAGAGCAGTGTTGAAATCAGTGTTGTCGCTGTATCCTGTGAGGTTTGCTGTTCACATGTGTAACCCATATTAAGACTGATCACACATTTGGATTTTGGATCATACCAGAGCTGGAAGCAAAGCCTGACTCTCCTTTGTCTCCTTTAGGTCCTGGTATTCCATAACCTAAAAAGCAGAAATTATTATTAAAATCTGGATGAGCTTCACAAAACACCACACACTTGTCTCAGAATCCATATTTGAAACGCTGTATTTGATGAACTGAAACACTTGCCTGTTGGACCTGGAGGCCCAGGCGGTCCTGGAGGTCCTTGTCTTGAATCTCCTAAGGAAAACATTTTGGAAACAGTCAGTTTATAGAATATTAGCCTACTGTACAAGAAGACCTTGGAGGAGCAGAGTGGTTAGTCAGATCTCAAAACAATTCCTAAGAAACCATAAAGATGATATCTTTGATAATGCTACAGTACCTGGGCGTCCAGGAGGCCCAGGTGGGCCAGGTGGGCCAGGTGGACCAGCTACTGCTGAGGCTCCAGCAGCACCAAACTGATCTAAATAACAAACAAAGACACATGATTTCAATTAATAAATGATACGTTTGTCTCACAGTTTCTTTTACATTTACATCTATCTGAACTCTGACATTTAGTTTGATCTAAGCCAGGCTGATGACTTATTTAACTTCCTCTCAAAAGTTATGCCACTTTAGGTGAAGATGCAGCAGGGTATTCTCATTTCTAAATGCTATATCTTACAGCAAACCATCAAAAAAGAAGCCTACTCACTCTGAGATCTGGATGAGCTTATAGTTTCAGTCACTCTCACTGTTGCTCCTGCTTCTCCCTGCTCTCCCTTATATCCTCTGTCACCTTTAGGACCTGTAAAGACAAAAAAATGCAACATTCATGAGACTCTGAGAGCGATATATCCAGTATAATTGCTTCCTCTGGGACTTAAAATGTGCGGTAACTTACCAGGTTGGCCAGGAAGACCAGCAGGGCCGATGGGACCTGAGGAGGCAATTCAATTTATGAGCACTTGCCAGTACAACAGTATTAAGCTTTGTTACTGCTACTACACTACAATCATTCAGGGCTAAGATGCAGGATATTCATTATATCAGGGATATCATCTGGCTACTTTCTGGACTGTCAAGGGTCAAACCTGATAACCCTGGAGGCCCGGCAGGGCCAGGAGGCCCAGCAGGCCCAGGTGGCCCGGGGATGCCAACAGCAGTGGAGCCGGCTGGAAAATAAAGTGATGGTCAGATATCCTCAATGGTCTAATCAATAATAATATTTCAATAAAATATAGGTTTTATCATTCTCTGTTACCTGCATTGATGATTCTTCCTGGTTCACCAGTTTGACCTAAAGACAGACCGACACATGCTTTGTCAGATTGTATTTTAGAAAGCCAGTTTTTCACAGCAGAAGGCTTTTATGGCTACAAATGGTTTCATCAAAGAGCTTAAGCTGACAACTGACTGCACCTTTGGCCCCTGGTTGTCCTGGATTCCCTGGTATACCTTAAAGCAAGAAGTACAAACAGGGTTAACAGCATTAAAAGACTCAGCCACATGCTACTTCATGAAATTAATAATAAAACCAAGTGTTGCGCTAAGTCACGTAGTTGTACCTGGGGGTCCTTGAAGCCCAGGTGTTCCTGCAGAGTGCGAGAAATGATGAATATCTATTATAATATTACCCACCAATGATAATGTTAGATCAAGTTTCATAAGACTAACATCTGACTCAATGTACCTGGAAGTCCAGCATCTCCTGGAGTCCCTGGAGGTCCTCGGATTCCTGGGGGTCCAGCTGGTCCTTGGTCACCTGAAAATAAAGCGATCAAAATGTGTGATCAGTAATGTTATTTCCTTGTGAATGTTATGTAGGTGTATCTGTAATGCCTAAATAATGACTCATTTGCCTCTTGATCCTTTTGCGCCATCTTGTCCAGACAGCCCTGATGACAAAAAAAGAAAAAAAAAATCAAAAGTTGTAATTGCCAGCTTATTTTCAGTGTGTTATTAAAGCATTAAATGACATTCCATAATGCAAAATGTCTAAAAATGACAAGAAATAACCTGAGATGTAACCAATGGTAAAACTGAATTGTTGTTTTTACACATAGGTTTTTGGACAGATCAAATAAACAGGTGATAACACACTGATTAGTGAGCTACCATATATCCAACCATATAGCCAACAATACCATATATCTGAACATCTGGGATTCACTGAATCGTCTGAGGCTGGACTCACCTATTGAGCCTTTGAGTCCTTTCTCTCCAGCTGGCCCAGGCAGACCTGGTAAGCCAGGTTCACCTGAGGAGTACGACAACTGGATTAAGAAACTGCACAGAGTGCATAATATGCTGAGATGACACCAGCAAATATGATTTCATTTACAAAGCTGTACTGACCTTGCAGACCTCTGGAACCTTTGTCACCCATTTCACCTAAAATAAAGAATGAATGAAATTACGATTAGAAATGTTCACTGGTCCCACACGTCCTAAAACTCTGATGTAGCTGCAACAGACCTTTAAGTCCTTGAAATCCAGCAAGCCCTCGGTCACCTGTATAGTGAGAAGAGTTACTGTGAGTAGATTATAGTATATTAAATGAAGTGATTTAATTATTTTTCATTTCAGTGTATTTAGCAAGTGAACGGTATCCATGTAAATTACCTTTAGGCCCAGGTGGTCCTGCCTCACCACGGAAACCTACAGAACCTGGTTGACCTGTAGCAAAACAGTTCATGTAAAATGCCACAGAATAAGTCAAGGAGTTATTAACAGTATTTATTTGGTGCTAGTAAATGGAATTATATTCAACTCTGTAATGGCTGTAATGCTCTAAGTGAATAATAACAGAGAAAAACTGACCTGTTGGGCCAGGAACTCCAGGTGCACCTACAGCAAGGATGAATAATGAATAGAAGGAAAACCATTGTTTAACAAGAACCTTGTAACAGCCTTCGAACACCATAATTACACTAATTATACAAAGCATTAATACTGAACTAAAGCTAGCATAAACGCCACTATTATTTGTAGTCACCTGGCTCTGTTTGTACTTCACACACTGTTACAGTCAGATGTTTTTATTTGTTATTTATTTAAACATGAAAAAAGTAACAGTGGTTTATATTCAGTGGTCTCACCTTTGGGTCCAACTGGGCCAGTAGGTCCCACAGGCCCCGGATCTCCAGGTAAACCTGCATAAATAAATGCATGAGCTCCTGTAGTAGTGCATTGTTTCTCAGATGTACAGTGAAGATAAACTAGGTGTTATTAGATCACAGATAGACACAAAATCTCTGTTACTGCTATAAATCTGGGCCATACCTCTGTCACCTTTCACTCCAAAGCCTTGAGAACCTGGCTCACCTCTGGGGCCAGGTGGGCCTTCACGACCCCTGATACCTGGTGGCCCCTCCATGCCATGTTCACCTGATCAGACATTTACATACAGACACTCACTCGTACATAAGTCAGACAGATTACTTGCATAATGTAGTTTGACCTGAAGTATTCTCTGTACCTTGGTTTCCTTTCTGTCCTTTAGGACCCTCAGGGCCTGCATGTCCCATTGCACCCGGAGGACCTGAGGTCAAAGGTCACAATGAGTAAAATGACATTGTGATCCCACACAATAAACCTAAACATAAAACACTGGTAATGACTAAAGGAAAAATGTTTATCATTCCTCACCTGTAATTCCAGGGAAACCAGGATCTCCTGTGACAAGTAAAACACGTTTTTGATGATGATGAGAGTTCACAGCAAATGAGAAACATATAGAAATAAAACGGACCAGCAGAATTACAGTTGAAAAATCTGAAAACACTTCTAGCACTAAGTGATTTTGCTTACTGACCTTTAGATCCAGAATCCCCTAAAAAGAATTAAAAATAAACACAAATGAACACAATGCATATGCTTCAATTGTATTAACAATTGATAAGAAAAAGAAAATTATAACTACAATGCTTAAATGAAAATTCTAATATTTGAATTTTACCTTTAGGTCCAGGTAGTCCTCTCTCTCCCTGCACTGAAGATGCTAGAAATGCTGAGACATAATGCAAAAATTCAACGAGCTTGAACATAGTGTGTGTGTGTGTGTGTGTGTGTGTGAATATTTGTGTATTCATGTTGTCTGTGTACATGTGCTGTACCTCTGAATGCCTGTGATTGCATTTCAGCTCTCATCATATTCTGGATGGCCAACTGAAGAGCAGCAGCATCTATTTGTCCTCCGCTCACGGCGCTCCCAAAGCCAAAGCTGGTACCAGCAGTGCCAGCGCCGACTCTGCTCACGCCCCCGCTGAAGCCCGTGCCGGCACCTCCAGCACCGAACTCACTGGTCCCAGTGGCAGCACCAGAACTACTGCCGGTGCTAACACCAATCTCATTGCCACCAGTGGAACCCACCCCAGTACCAGTTGCAATCCCAACTTGTGTTCTGGAACTTGAGCGTCCACGTCCAGCACCGGCGATTAGTGTGATGTCAGTGTTGCTAGTACCTCCGCCGTCCACACTGGTGCCGATGTCATTGGCAGAACCTGACAGCCGACTGATATAAGCAGTCGCGGCTAAAGACTCAGCCTCCAAGGTAGCCACTCGATTTTTCAGCTTTCTCACATCCTCAGCTGAGAAAAGAGCATCAACATTTGTTGAGAGGAGGAGTGCACATTCAGGCAGTGAAACAACCCTCCATCTGTCATCTGACAAACTGATAGTGTTTTCCACATTTGTCTGAAGGAGCTCTGACATCTGAAATGTGGCAATTCAATTCAAAAACATAGATATCTATCTCTACAGTATTTTATTGATTCTGCTTTTATCTTAATTTGACTATAAGCATCTTTATTTATTATTGACTTAATGTACTTTGTCAATTGCATTCACAAATCCAAAATATGTAGTAAATCAGAGTGTAACAATACTCACTACTTACTGTGTAGGTTAATGAATATGCAATTAGCTTGTGCATAAAAACTACAGTGCAAACAAGTAATTAATGAATCTATTAGGTGATTGACATAGAAATAATCTGCAATGGTGTAGTGAGGAACGGTAGTGAGGAACAGGTGAGCTCTGCTCTTTCAGTTTCCTCCCCCCGGATTTGTCAGTGGTAGTATGGGGATCAAACTATAACCTGCCCTGGATCACATGTACACTTACAGTTAAACACTATGTAGGTTACTTTCTACTGCCGACAATAATACAAAACTAAGCCTAAGTAGGACAGTAAGTATATGTACTGTAAAGGATCTACAGTATGAGGCAACTCCACCATTTGTGTGAATGAGTCAGGAACTTATCAGGGTGTTTTCATGTGCATATGGTTCCATGCAAGTAAAAATTATATATAGTGCCTCAACTCAGAAGTTGCAAACATTATACCAGGTTCTTTTTTTCACATTTTGTCAGGATAAATTCACAACACAACAACTCTACTGCAGCAGGAGAACAATCTGGAGCTTCTGAAGCAAGAATTTCTGGAGCTGCTCCACCAACAATGAAAGCCAGACCAACTTTATGGGAGTGGGAGAGTACCCAGGAATCAGATTTCCAGGGAGAGGAGCACATTTACCATCTCACAGCTCTTAGCAAAGTTATGACTACACACCAGCCTGTAAAAGAAGGAACATACTGTTTTTTTTAATTCAAAAATAGTCTAGACCCTGGGGACATCATTGTGGAGCAGCTTCAGAGAGTATCTCATGACTCCTAAGGTTTTATCTTGGGGGAGATTTTTATTTTTTCCTATTGTGAACATTACCCAATGCAATGAGGCCAAACAGGAGTCCCAGCAGGAGCAAGGAGAGGAGGAGAAGACCCAGCAGCCATTTCCACCAGGAGCAACACGCGTCGGAGCAGCAGCAAAACCCTCCTCCTCCAAAGATGCCGCTGTCCCTGTGAATCTCTGGAGACGGAGTAAAAAATTAAAGTCATCATTTTCAAACACTAAATTATTTGTCACTATGTAAATATTAAACAAATGTGATTTAAAAAATACCTGCGTAGGTGGCTTTGTCTTTCATTACAACTCCAGATGATCCATCTGATGAAAGAACATATAGACATTACAGATTTATTTTTATAATCACAGTCATTTTTGTTCTCATAGATGTAACACCCACTCACAGTAAGAGCCGCCTGTCTCTGCCTTCAGTGGAACCGTCTCACTGTAGCTGGAAATAAGCTTCTCTTTCTTTATTGAATCCCCCGATAGTGACCCTGTGAAATTAGAAATACTTTATTCAGCACAACTTTGTATAGTACTTGTTGTATTCAACAAGCTGAACTGGAAACACAACAGCCTTGGTTCACTGGAATTTTGGGAAACTATTTGGATGAAGAAAAAGTTGAGAAATCCCTTTATGATCCATTGTTTCTCCAGAAGGGGGCAGTGAGCATTTGACTCACCTCCTCCTACCCCAGTGCTGCTGCTGGTGAACTGCTTCCCACTGTCCTTAGCCAGAATGAGCATTTCTGCATCCCTCTTGGCTGGAACGTTCTCCTTGTCAGACACCATGAACTTATAGTCTTTCTTATATGCATCATCAGTCTGGGATCGAGTGGCTGACAACAACAACAATAACAACAAGCCAGGAATCATTCTCAGTTTTAGAATTTGGGAATTATTTAGGAAACATTTATTTCAAATAAGAGGGGATTTTAGCAGCTGTGGAGTTACCTGTAGAGACTCCAGAGCTGATGACACCAACACCATTTGACACATTCTTCTGAACACCATAACCTTTTAATACAAACACACACAGGTAAACATTCATATAAGGAAAATGTTAATCGACTGCAAAATATTTCATACTGCTAAGAAAATGTAGAAAATATGCTGTAGTACCCACCTTGGCTGGCATTTACATGGGCTCCACCAGTGGTGAGCACACTGCCAGAGACGGGCGCCAGATTATTCTGAAATCCGTAAACTGTAAACACGGATGCAGGACTTGAGATGATTAAACCAAAACCATGACTCAATCATTCCTTACTACATTACAGACAAGACCAGGTAAAGGGATGTTTGGCCTCACCTGACAGGGAGGAGGGTGCGGTGTGACTGAGCGGCGAGGTTCCTCCTGACATGTTGTTAGTGCTGGCCTGGTACTGGTAGTTGCTGGTGCTGCCAGTGACCCCCGTGGTGGAGGCGGACGGCAGCGTGGCGGTGGACCAAGTGAAAGATGGGAATATAGCATCCAGTGTGTCGTACTGGCCTGACCGCAGACTGGTGTCATAGTGGCCTGATCTCAGACTGGTGTCATATTGGCCTGATTTCCCACTGATACCATATTGTCCTGACTGCACACCAGTATTATACTGGCCTGATTTCAGACTACCACCATACTGGCTTGATTTGACGCCAGTATCAAACTGTCCTGATTTCAGACTGGTATCATACTGGCTTGATTTCACATCAGTGTTATACTGACTCGATATCAGAGTGACATTATATGGGCCTGATTTTACACCAGTATCAAACTGCCCAGCTGACACTCTGGTATCATACACACCTGATGTACCAATGGTGTGAAATCCATCTGCTCTCACGCCTGAGCCAAATGATGTTAAATCTGCAGGAGAGAAAAGACAAATGTCAATGTGTCTCATACTTAACCCCAAATGTTTTATATTTAAGTCAGAGAACTAAGGATTTGTTTTTCTGGAAAAGAAATCTCTAGCACATTTAACAGCATTTCAGTTTGGAAAGTATTTTAAGGAATCCTGAAAGACTCTTTTGTCTATACAGATAAAAAAATATCTGCAATTCTGGATTTATACAAGCAAACAAAAATAATTTCTCTTTCAGAAAAAAAAACTGATGTTTAGCACATAAGAGACAAAGTGTGGCCATATGAAAACATATGTATCTGTGGGATGGATACAATGAATGTGCAGGTGTGTGACTCCGGTGAGGGTACATGCCTGACTGAGATGCCACAGAGACCGTCTTGGTTTCCACGCCAGCCTTTTTTGGGACAGGCAGGGACATGGAGGCATCAGAGGAGCGAGTGGGGCTGAGGCTGTTGGAGCGTACCTTCAACAGCTTCTTCACGTCATCCAGCTCCGTCCCTGCAATTCCATAGTCACACACAAGCTTCACGATAAACACCTAAAATGATGATCCGGTGTCTTGTTGATGTCGTTAGTCTTCCATCTTAATTAGAAGATTTGTTTTATCTCCTTACAAGATGGTAATTTTACTTTCACAAACAGCCATAAAATCAACACAACACCTACAGTAACAATACTGATACTTTCAGTTAATCTTCAAGGAATATGAGTGACATATGTAGTATCTTCCAACAAATCTGCCTATGTGTTTTGTGAGGTGTCTTTCTGCCCAAGCATGCTCAATATTTTTATTGAAATCAAATAAATAAGTATTGAGGTTTTTTATTTATGTAAAAGTAGAACTGGCTTATTATAAAAAATATTCTATTAAAGTAAAAGTACTGCATTCATAATTTTACTTTTGTGGAGGTAAAATATGAGCAGCAAATGTACTTTAAGTATAAAAGTTAAAAGTAGAATGGTCCCTGTTATAGTGTTATGTGATGAATGGATTATTGTTGTTATTACAGAGCCATTACTGTGCAAGCAGCATTTTAAGATTGTACCTAGAGGAGGTAACTACTACTGGGCTGCTCGATCTGTAATAATAGATTTTATTCTATGAACTGATCGTGTGTTCTGTCTATAAATCCTTGATCTTAAAAGTCATCTTCTATCAAATAAATGCAATGGAGTAAAAAGTACAATATGTCTCCTGAAAGTGTAGTGAAGATGATTAAATAGCATAAAATGAAAGTACCTCAAAATTGTACTACTTGAGTAAGTAATTACATTCCACTTTTCATTACTAAGGGTAAAAATATTAAATACTCCTTCCACCAGCGCTGGTGGAAAATAAGTTTAACAGTGAGACACAGCTGAGGTACAGCAGGGTTAAGGTGGCACAGAATGACTAACTGTCGAAAAACGTGGCCTAAATAATTGCAGCTCTACACTTTCATCAGCAGGGGGAGTAATCAGCATCTGTAAAAGTGACTCTTTTCTCTCCATGCTTTGCTTCTTTTTTCTGCAAACAGTGACTCATGTCTACCATTGTTTCCTCCACAGATCTGTACCTTAACTTCTTCCCCACATACACACAAACCTATTACTCTCATGGTTCTCACCCTTTTCTTTTCACTGATATATGTCTGGGGAACTGCACATGTGTTTCCAATTGAAATTTCATGGACATAAACATGGATGTGAGGAGCTGAAAAGAAGGAATGTCCTTTCCGTGTTACACTGAATACTGGGGGCCAAAGCATTTGGTTGCAACATAATTCAAAATATACGCTGCTCTGAAGTGACCCTGCACCATTGAAGTAGCTATTTGAATGAGCACACTCAAAGATGCTTTGTTACTTTATCAGGAATTGCATAACCAACAGTGAATGGATTCAAGTGGTCTTACATCTGGAGGCAGTGGGAGAGGCACTTTGTAACCGGACTCTGATCTCGCTCTCTGGAATAAAATCACAACACACAATGGACAAAGGAATCCTGATTTAGTGAAAAGCAAACCAGGACAATTCAGTGTCAGATGGTGTAGAAATAATGTAATGAAAAGGGGACAAACCACTACTGAATACCTCTGCTTTCAGTTCTCCCTCTTGTGGCGCTGGAGCCTGAATGTTAAAAAAAAAAAAAGTAAATAAATAAATACACATATAGACACACCCTGAGGATACAGCTGGAAAAATATTGTACACTCATAAAGTATATAACCCTACACAGATGTCACTCTCACTTACAATAGTTTCCATAATCTTTGCGGGTAAATTCTGGAGAAGAATTTGCACTGGAACTTCCTAAAAAACACACACACACAATAGTTTAGCAGAACTATAAACAGTGCCCTCGTGCCCAACTGTTTCCTTCACTTTTTCATGCCTCTGCTACGAGGCCCCCTGATGCCAACTGTGCAACACAGGATCTCACCGTCATAACCTCCTGAGTGGCTGGATATTTTCTTCTTCTCCCGGAAAACTGGTGACAGGCCTCCTGCTGAGCCAGCGATTTGTGCTCTCCTGGCACCGCCCGACGAGCTGGATCGTACTTTTGACACCGAGCTCACAACATAACTGCCTCCGCCTCCACCTACACTTCCGTACCCATCTCGGTCGATGTAGCCCCCCCCTCCATCGCCTCCTCCTGAGGAGTCTCCTCCGAGGTAAACTCCTGAGGAGGAACTGTAGCTGCCGGTGTTCATACCTGCAGAGGCTGGAGGGAACATGAAAACAAGTTATTTTTGGATTTCCTGCAACCAGATCATCTCACAAATAGGAATATGCCTGAGTCACATGAAAGTGACCTGGAGTCAGCGGTGGAGTGTAACTACACTACCAGTCAAAGGATTATCCCAGTCCGTTCAATGGGGAAAAGCATCCAAACATTTGACCAGTACACAAGGACAAATTTGAAGTACTTATATTTTACATAAGTATTTAGAAGTCAGTATAATGGAAGAAGTATTCAGGTTCTTTAATCAAGTAATACCACACTGTAAAAAAATATTTCCAGAAAATGATGGAAATAGAGTTCATGTTCATTATTAACTTTGATCATAGACATAAGAAATGCCATTAACAATTCAAAGTGACACCTTTAAATGTTTAATTTATAAAACCTCAACCAATTATGACAGTAAAATGCAACTTTTCCATCAGTAATATCAATTTAATGCCATATGATTGTGTGACACTCATAGGGTCCATTTTCTGTATATAAGCTGTATATACAGCTAGCTGATGATAATAGTTACATAGCTTCTTTTATTTACAGATGCATTAACTAAGATTTTACACATTGTCTGAGAAATCCAGTGAAAATGGAACAGGACATGGTGGGAGCTCTTGTCTGCTAAAACAGAAACAGTGACTGTCACATAAAGAGGCCACATTCTTTTGCACAGAGAAAGTGGGACAAAGAAAGAGCAAAGCCAGGATTAACACTAGTTTGGCTTTTAAGATGGAGAATGTTAGAGACAGCCAAAGTTCTCCAATTAGATTCAGTATGGCGTTCTTCCTTCCAGATGTGTTAGCATCTAGCATCTTATCCAACCTTCAGTCTTGCAATATTTGTCAGAAGACAAATCCACATCTTCCCAATTCTGACCCATGAGTGTAAATCTGTGCTCACATGAAGAGAAATAAGTTCCACCACTGCTCTGGGTAAAGACATTCTTCTCCAAGCCCAGCCCTCCAACACTGCTGGACATATTCCTGTGATTTGATCCGCTGGTTCCCTCTAGCAACAACACAACAAAACAAGGAGAAGTGGTTACTCATCGGGTACTTCCTTTAGAAATGCTCAACTATAATTATTGTGTTATGTTTTTAGTTTACTGGCAGTAATCAGAGTGAGCACGACCGAAGAGAGAGAGACACTCACTTGGGGGCAGAGACGTCAGCCTGGTCGTGGAGGTTATAGTTTCAGTCACACCTGAGGAAAAGAAAGAAAACATCACCGTGTGTACAGCGCAGTCTATCTTAACTCCTGTATGTTATTCACTCTTACTTATATTAAACCCAACAGGCAGATGTGGAGTGACTGTCATGGTTTTTCACACTTCCAGAGCTGAATATATGCGACACTGATAGACAATGTTGACGAGGTTAGAGTTACTGTGGGTCAATATGCAATAACAAATGCCTTTATCAGTGGATAACAAATAACTGACTAATGTTTTCTATATCAGTTAGAATCCATTAATAAAGTTGTTTACGCTCAAGCAGAACAGTTGCTCAGTCTTTTAGCTCTTTAACTCATCAGAAAGACCCCCTGACAAACTGTCTGACCTCTGACCTTCTTGGACCACAATCAACAACTTAATTTACAGCTTATTAACATTTAGGAGTACAGACTTAATGGATTAATATTATCATCATTATAAGAAATATTATGGTATTTAATGACTAACTTTTGCAGTTGACTTAAAAAACTAAAAAACCCACAACCTCTTATGGTGACACAAAGTCTTTCTATTTAGCATTTATAAATAGTATACACTGTAAATGAGACAAGGACTTTTATCGTCATTTACTTGAAAGTTGAAAGAAGAATCAGAGAACGTGAGTTTCTCCCCCGTCCAGGCAATTTACTAAGCGAACTCGTTGCACTGAGTTTTCAATGGTATGGTAATGGTAAGTGGTATGTATAGCAACTAGTGAGGTCCCTGGTCTACAGATCCTAAAATTGTCCTGTACTTATTTGGCTCTAACTCCACTACAATACCTGAACTAACCCTCAGACCCAGTGACCCCAAAATGCCCTGCATATAAGTCGATGTGAAGCATGTCAAGAGTTCATGTTTAAAATACACATATTCTCAGCTGTAAAACAAATTCCTAGGATGTCAGTGTTATTCATATCCTACAGCCACATGGTACTCTGGGTCATGTTATGTCAGGTCCTGACTTGGGAAATGTTGAGACAGAGACACAACCTCTATTAACATTCTGTAAGTGGGAGATTAAAATAAGATAAATCTTAAAAATCTTCAAACAATAAGCATTTATTAAATGGTTTATAACACACTTAAATGTAAGCAATATATCGTAAGCAGATAAGTCTTTATTATTGTATCAACATCTAACTCCTCTTGTGGACACCCACAGATGGAGGGTGTCATATAAACAAATAAGGAATAATAATATAATAAAACTGTTGTAACAATATCAAATATGTCTCCACAGCAGAATAGTTAACAAACACTGGACGTTAACAGGCATTTACAAATATTCTTATAGCCACACATAACTACATTCATCAAGGGCTTTGTACTGCTTTAAAATGGTAAATTAGAGGATATAAAGTGTTACCATTTATGTTACTAACATTAATAACCTTTTCATAACCACCTGACTATAAATTACTTACCAGCCAGAGTGATTTTTTTACAACTTGATATCCTAAAAGTTACTTCTTGTTAATGGCTTATTACTGATTAATAAAACATAAGTAAATTTTTTAGAGTAAAAAAAAAAGTGCCTAATAAGACAAGAAAGTAGTAAAAAGTCTGAATGTGGAGTCTAATCACGTGAATTTGTAAATTTCAAGATCAAGTTCAGGTTTATTCAGATAACGCACTAGATTCTTGTCTGTCAAAAAATGTGTATAAGTTTTTGCATTTGCTTTGACGTAATTTAGTACAAGAAACACTTCGTGGAATTTTCCAGAGCTTGAGGCTAGTTCCTGCAGACAGACCTTATCCACTTGTCAAGAAGATTCTTTAGTGTTTATCATAAGACTTACATGTGGATTAACAGCTAAACCATCTCTATGAATGCACTGAAAGAGTTCTGGAAAGTGGGCCTCTGTGCTAAGATTTGTTTTGTAAAATTATGATCTAAGATTAAAAACATGATTTTTACTTTTTTTTTTTATTTACTCTTGACAGCTGTGCTGTGGAGCAACTAATTATAGAGACATTCTCTATTAACATCTAAGTGAATCAGAATCAGAATCTGCTCAAATGTGTCTGGTCTTTGGTCTCTAGACTCAACATGCATGTAGACATTTGATCACCTTGTGAAATATTAATGTGGAAAGGGAAATCAGTGAAATTAAAAGCTTGTGTAAATTAGGTAACGATGAGCTGGAGGCAGATGACTGAGATCTGTCACAAATGTCTTCCACTAGGAGGTATCTTGTTCTCTAGCTGCAGCTAGATTCAATTACAGATCATGTAAATACCATTTCAATCTGCCTCCTCTTCCTCCTTCTGTTTAGTGACTTCTGCTTGTTTCAGGAACATGGCTGACATCTGAAGGCGACAATACTTTTGCTGCCATTGCTCCAACAGCTTCCAGTAAAGTCTTAGAGGAGCCAAATCAGTCTCAGAAAATTACCTTAAAACTAATTTGTTTGGGCTTTTTTACATCCAAAGTTTATTCCCTCTTTGTCTCTACTTTCTAAGCACTGGTTTGAAAAACCTTCCATAAATAAGGTTTCCTAACTTTTTTAGCATGAAACAAGAAGAGAGCAAGAGGATACATGTTTCTCTGTTACCACCAAACATATGAACAGGCATTTCTTGACCTCTGCTTCTCCATGTCAGTAGTCACTAGGCAAACATGACTCGGTTTTTTTATTTGGGCTATGACAACAGCAGGAAACCCCAGAAGATGACTTACACCCTGAGAAATAAAAACAGACACCAGTGAAGACATGCTGCGACTTTAGTGATAGGAGAAAGAGAACAGAGAGAGATCCAAAAAGAGAGATTCAGCCATGAAAAGGATGCCATGGAATCTAAAAATAACTACATGGAAGGTGTTTTAAAGATGAATTTGCACCTGTCATTTAGCTTTCATTTCTTGAGAATAAATGAAAGCTAATTCATGTTGCTTGTGTGGTCAGAGACATTACACTAAACCTCTGAAAATAAAACCACAAATATCGCATTCATCTACAGCTGCAAGTGTGAAAGTGTCTGTGTTATCTCAGTGAACTGATCCTTTAACCTCATTAAAAAAAAAAAAAATCAAGAACTCTCACCCCTTTCTCCCGACAAGCCTCCTGAGAAGTCCATCTCTCTTGTTAACTCCTCCATCCCATCTTATCTGGTGAGATGATGATACAAGGTTGACCATGATCATGCACACACTGTGCCACCTGTAGTGGCATTTGAGCAAACACTTGATAGGAAAAATGTCACAAGTTAGGCCAGGAGTCATATGGGTTAAAGACCAGGCTGCTTTGATCTGATGTTTACTGCTCAATTTGAAATTTCATGCCACTGAAGACAGGAAAAAATGCCATCACATCAATCTCATGATCATGTTTTCAATACCACACACTAATATTTTAGTAGATACAGTTTTCCCTTAAACATCCTGCCTTTAATGATCTTTCAGAAGTAGAAATTCTGCAGTAGACCCAGGATAGATCCACACTCACCTCTGAGCTACACTGGACTTAAAAACAAGTAACTTTCCAGATGCATTTCAATCTCATGTGAACAGTCAGTACCACAAGAAGGGCTCCACACCCTATAAAGCATCATCTATAGATTTCAATAGACTTTGTATTTATTTTGAGCCTCTGAAGACCAAACTAACAAAAGAACAAAAGAGCCCAGTGGATCACTGCACAGCTCTGAAAGGCCATCCTCCCACCACACCCTGCCAACCAACAACATTCAACTGCATGTGCTTCATGTACAGCACACACACAGACGTTTAGAAACAGTGAAGCAGAACCAGACACCCAAAGATATATGGCACCCCCTATCCTTCATTGTGCTGAAATCACTATTTGTAGCCTGTAAACTGCAACAATCCTCAAAGCTTTTCAGCTTCTTCATTTCATTAAAGCTTGTCCAACGCTCGTTATTATGTCTTTAACTGCTGTGAACCGCAAATAAAAATTGATGTCACATAAAGCTGATGCTGCAGCACGGCCGGGTTCTGTAATATATTTAGAGGGATGTAAATAGCACAGCAAAAATACCTGTAAAACTATCCTGAGACCAACAGACTACAGATACCACCGGAAGAAAGATGAGCCCCCCCGACACCTCCAGCTGGGACTTTTTTAGACAAACTAAAAAGTTCTTGTAATAGGCTAATGGATTTTATGCAAATCCATTACATAAAGTCTGCAGCCCAAAAAGCAGCCCGTCACCACAGTCCCAGTTGTTAGAGCAGAGATGCAACAGCCAGGTGAGAATAAACATCTACAACATCCAGCATAAACAACTTTTTTGGAAAAAGGAAAGAAAGAAAGAACGGTTTCCATGTTATTCCAGCGTAAAGTCCATATAGTCCTACCTTCAGCCAACAATCAATCAAATCCCGACTCCTCTCAAGACAGACTGACTGATCGTGTCCACTGGTCCACTGGGGGAATTACGTGTTTATATAAAGTTCATGCGCCGTGGTGGGATGTTCTTAAAGTCCTCGTTCCCTTTGTGCCTTTTCGCTCAACTTTCCCAGGCAAGTCAAAACACAGATTTGGGCACGGGTCCCAGCCGCGCCCATCAGCGCTGGAGCTTAACAGGCAGGTGTAGCAGACCACACGAAAAGTTGAATTTAAATTTTAAAAAAACAGCGCCTGGAGGAACCATTAACCATTAGAAAGTGAAGTGATCAGCTCCTCCTCCTGCTGCTTAGTCACAATTTTTTCGAAAACTGGTAAAGGGGGGTGGAAAGCGGTGTTTGGGGGTGCTTTTTTCTTTTTGGGATTGTTAAGAGTGAACCCATGTCAGGGTCTGCTGATTTACTGGGTGCACCAAACCCATCCCATTGCCGCAGGAACACATCTGGTGCGCACATTGGTCAAAGAAACAAAGCATTTAGTCTATACGTATTCAGACAATGTGGTATCATGCAGTATTGTGCCACATATACCGTATTTTAAAAGCAAAAACAGCATGCAAATCTGAATATACTTGCAAAAGTAACTAACTAATCTTTGCACAAAAGGCAGCTCTGCATGTTTGTACAGCTGTTGAATGATTGGTTTCCTCTACTGAGATTAGGATAGACGACGCGCCACGAGCACATATGAGAGAATATAAGAGCTGAATTTATGTGCAAGATCATAATAAAGGCAGCCTATCCGTTAATTTGCATTTATGCAACTTTGGGCCAAATTAGATGCTTTATTCCTCCAGTGGCAGCCACAAGCACCAGTAGAAACCTTCACCCACCACACCCTGTGCAGACATCCACCCACCCCGCATGACTCAAAGCGAGCATGACTCCAGTCTGCTTAAATGATGGAAAACAAATGGCCCCAAGGACAGAGGAGGAGGAGCTGCTCCACTCACATCTACATGCAAGTTTTAAAAGAGCCAAATCCAGCAGTAAGAGGCTGGTTTAAAGCAGATTCCACCATGGTGATCCAATAAAAAGGAGGTGACTGGTCTGTGCAGCCTGTTGGATAAAGCACACTCATGCTTGTGGATAACAGCTTCCAGATAAGGGCTCTGTTATTTCTCTAGAACAAGAGGGCAGCAGTTGCAGAAGTGTCCAAATTAGGAGCCCAGCAAGTTCATAAGGAGTGCATTACATAACAATGAGCTCAGCCATTATATCTTTGTTAAGATAATGTGACATGTACATAATGCTGGTTCACTGTAAAAATGATTGTTCACACTAGAGTGTTATAGTTTTCCTACAGTCTTCCTCAGGTAAACTGGAAACCATTGCTCATTGTGCTACATTACAAGAACGGAAAAAACTCTGCACTTAACACAGCTCTATCACAGTGTCTGGTGATATCCCCTTCAGGCACAGCTTCTTTCCACTCAGACAACATGTTGTTAATCCGGATGTTTGGACATTTTTAAAGAGATAAAGCTGACATTTGTCTTTTTATGGATGTCACACGTTGTTCTAAGTTAAGCTGCTGAAACTCTGGTAAAATATCTTCTCAGAAAAAACAGCAGCAAAATTCCAGGAGGGCACTTGGTGTGCAGTCAGAGCAAACAGAGGCAACTTGAGACTCACTGGATTTATCTGTGTATATATGTTCAGTAGGTGCAGACTTGGCTTACAGTGGTGGAAAGCAATAAAGATAGGCATGATGAACTCATCAAAATTTACACAATACTTTGATATTTGACTTTTTTGTCTTGCTTGCAATGAACTAGGGTCTTTATAAAACATTTTCATATTAATTATTTGAACCTCATTGATTCAAACTAATTACTAAACCAATTAATTACCAATAGGTTGAGCTGAAACTGAAAAATAATGCAAGTGTATTTCAATTAATCTCTTAAGTCATTTTTTAAGAAAAATCCCCAACCATTACCCAGTTCCAGTTCCTAAATTGTGAGAACCTGTTGCTTTTCTTCATCTTACATAAAAGCAAACTAATACTTAGGTATCTGGGTGTTAGCTAGGCAAAAAAAGCTATTTTATATTGTGACCTTGGAAACTGCAACAGCTGCTTTTCATGATATGAGCCAAACCAAAAATAAATTGATTATTAAGAACATTTTTCATGAAAACTGAAATTATTAAACTATCAGTTGCAGCTCCACTAATATTCTTTAATGCTCATCATATATATATTAAAATAAAACAAATATGAATGGACTGACAGAATGATCTAAGAGAGAAACGTTTGTACCATGCGGCCAAGATGCAAAAACTATTATTTTTGAAAGGAATGCAGGTTTGGGTTTATGTGGTCAACATGCAGTATTTTATAATTACTTCAATCTTTGACTGTGAAATAAAACATCTCTCATTCAGAGGGATATTTATCAGTGTTGTACAATAAGTAAAATAATCATCCAACTAGCACAACAATCAGTAGGCTATACAGTAGGTCACCCTGCCATTTTGAAAGAATTTTAAGTTCTAAGTCATAGGCCTTTTTATAGAAAACATTTTGACATGCTGCACTAGGAAAATCACAGGAATGAGTAATGAAGTTAAAGAGCTTTCGTTATAAGGGTCCTGGCATTATTAATGCTGACTCACTGTTGTGTCTTGCTGGAACATTTAAACAGATCAGAGCCATTGTTAAGGTTACTAGTAACACTATTAGACCAGACTGCAAGGGGCCTAAAAAGCCCCAGGTTTGCGGCATGACAATTGGTTTTAGCAGTTTTTCTCACATTTATTATGAAGTTGCACCACTGAAAAACAATGAGGAAGGTTCTGCATTAGGTAATTTTGTGGCTGTGTCTTGTGTGTGTCAAAGTGAAGTTTACAGCTTTTTATTATGCCACCACTAAAAACCATGTTATGCACACCTGGAAGATAATGTAAGGAAGTGTTTGCAGATGATACCTTGGCACCACATAAAGGGATTTTACCACACAGAGATACCACAAATAACGCAGCTACGCTGCATTAGCTACCACACAGATACAGTAACACAGAGTAGAACTGGAAATCAAAGTTTACCCCCAAATGCCACACCTTTATCAAGTGATACCAGTGCAGCCTGTGCACCTCGGGGCACAGGGCAGTCACGGCACCTCCACTAGAAACAAGACTCTCCCTCACAACATAAACTATATCTTTCTAATATATCTTACTGCTGACCAAAATAGTAAGAGGAATTAAAAGCCTGCACAAACATTACACAAGTCCATATGTATGAGCGTCCAGTACCTGCAGTTCATAAGAGTTGGCCTCATTCCTTTTCACACAGACTCTAGATTCTATGAACCCTAGCCACAGTAAGCACAGATTTTCATGTAAACTATTCTAAAGTTTAAAAAAAAAAACAGTCTCATGACTCATCCATAGTAATTATCTTCAACCTTCAGTCATTCAAGATTCAAACATATAAAAAGTAAAAAAGTCCCTAGTTCCATGGGGTGTGTAATATCATACTGCCAAGTAACCTACTGATGTTCAAGTCTAGGCAGCATCCTCTTTTAATTCACACCTTTCTCCTCGGGGCTATAAAACTTTCAATCAAAATGTAGGACATCAGAAGTCTCAAAACAACCTTAAACTAAATGCAACGATCTGAAGGCATTTAAATCAATCCTTTATAGCAATGAATCAGCTGATGAGAAGAGATGAATCACAATATGACTCAACCCTAGTAACAAGTAACCGAATAACACCGTTTCAACACTGAACCTTGCTTTTTTTAAATTTACTTTTACTTCCCTTCAGCTTTTTCATTTTGTGAAAGTCCAGTTAGATAAATGTTTCTCCTTTTAATCCCACTAGAACAATCACAGCCAATATTGCTCTATTCTAATTTTAAATGCATTAATATTATATTTTACTCTGTTTAATTGTCCTGTAGTTAATTTTTTTTAAAGTTCAGAAAATATAGTTCCATCAAAAGGTAATTTTGTACAACTTTACCTAAAAAAAAAATGGAGATGATGAGAAGCCATTTTGGTTTTAGGTATGTGGAATAATATGGAAATATTGGGCTTTTGGTGGTGCGCTTTTGTCTATTACTGTGTATACTGTGCCCGTTTTGTCCTATGGCCCATTTCAACTACAGTTCCCATGAGCCTATTTGGTTATACGTCATCAAATGCTGTCCAATCGCAGACATTTGAGGGTTTCTTGAGCCGAAAAATAAAGTTTTCAAATCGCTCAGATTTATAATTTATTTTTAGTAAAAACTCAGTTAGTTGGTCACCTGATAATGCGATAATGTTAATCAACATGTGCTTTAACGGTTTGTATTAGTTTAGTTTTTTTCATAGGCATTTTTGTATTTGTTTATCAGACGGAATATGACTAGCTGGCTAAGCTAGCTCAAACCAAATTTCACCAGTTTGCATGCATGAGATTATTAAGTGTTACCGATGGAGAGCACTCCTAAAGCAGCCAAACCAAAGCCAGAGTATTCGTCACCTTGTGATGCAATGGATTCAAGCCCCTGTGAATACAAAGAGGAAAAGGTAGGCTGTACATTTTGCTTGCATGTCACTTATCAGGTAATTGAGCATTGTTTTACCAGGTTAATGTCACGTCAAATGTGCAGTTTTAATAAGTAATCTAATACTTAATGATTCATAAAGCTGCAAAGATTAATATATTACTCAGTTGAAATACATTAATTACCATAACCTAATAATTGTTTTAGTAATTTTTAAGCAAAATTGTCAAATAAGAGGATTTGATGTTTTCTTGTAACACTAGATAAAAGATAAGATAGAATAAAATTAATATCTCCAGATTCTGGACTGTTAGTGGGACAAAACATGACATTGAAGATGTCACCATAGTCTGTGGGAAATTTCCCACAATTTTTTTGATAACAATAATCCATAGTTGCAGCCCTACTAGTATCACCTGTCTATATGCTGTGTGCCCTGACATTCATTCATTTATCACTGTCACCAACACAGTTTCATCAAAAGCTGAGCTCCTCACTGAAGGAGAGGCTGAAGAGATCGAGGCGCTCCTTCACTTCTCCCTCCTCTGTGGCCAAACGCCTTTGTGTTGATGATTTGGAGGAGGGTGGCCAGCAAGTTTCAGCAGATCCCCAGGAGACAGTTAGTAACCATCTACTCAGGCACAGTGTTGATGTAAACAGGAATGCAGTAAGATCAGGGAGTGAAAGCTTTTCTGGACCCATTCCTGAACCAACACATCCTTCTGAAGAAGACTATGCACAACTACAAGACCAACTCAGAAAGGAGGTTAAAGAAAAAATGGAGACTCTGCGCAGACTCAAGATGGTTAAAATGTACAGAAGCAAGGTATCAGCTACCTTTAAATTATCTGGGCTAGATTTTGTTAGCCAGACTAAAAATGTTTATTTTAAATGACACATTTCCTGTCTCTCTCTCCTTAGAATGACTTAACACAGCTCCAAACCTTGATTGACAAGTGGCGGAGTTGTGCTCAGGCTGCACTGTATGAGCTCCAGTCAGATGTCCACGTAGAAGGACAAAAGGCCAGTCTGTCTGAGCTTATTGACCTCTTTGGCCTGGATGACAGCATTCTGCACTTTGACCGCACAGAGGAGGACTTCACTACCTGATAATGTGCCTTGGGGAAAAAAACAACTGTATTATCATTAGCCTATGGAAAAGCACTGCAGGGGGACAATCACATTTCAAATATCCTGAATTCACTTGCTGTTTTATTTGTTTCTGCTACAGTTTTCATTCAAAGCTTAAGTTGTAAATTTCATGGTCAGTTTACTTAAGACCAAATAAAATTGTGTCATCTGTTGAAGAGAAGGCTTTGCTCAGTTGTGATTCAGCTTATCAAGTGAAGGGAAGTTCTTCATCCTCAGACGCTCAAGTTCTGCCCAGAGGAAAGCCAGGTTTTCCGCTTGTGCTCTGGCAAGGCCCTGCAAGTTCTTCTTCTGAACAATCTCCTGGTAGCGCTCTTCTGTTTCAGCAGCCTGATTTTCCTCTGATGCTAGACACCAAAGAAACCACATTATCAGCCAGAAGAGGCTCTAACCCCCCCTGTGCAATTTGTCCAATTAGAACAAATGGTTATTTTATTACCAGTTTCTTCATAGATGTGTTTCCTCTCTGCCACAGTTGCCTGCATATCAGGCAGCTGCTGCTCTAAAATTGCATTCTTCTCAGCTTTCATTGCTGCCTGCCTGTTAAGCTGTTCAATTTTTTTAATGCGATGCTGCACGTTCTGTAGATGACTCTGAAAACAGAATATAGCTTCCATACTAACTCAGAAGATACATAATGTAGAGCTGATCAATGAGATTGCATTGTTACTTTTCTGTTACCTTTTCCTGGAAATCTATGGTTTTCTTCAGAACAGAAACTTGCTTGGATACACGGCTGTATCGATCTGTCCTGAGGAGATACTGGAAAGAAAAGGAAAAACAACTGACCTGTATGAGGTGACAAATGAAACAGAAAAACAGAAGGGACAGCAATATAAAATGTCTCAACTGGTTTTTCTATCAAGTGTCCACTCTAGGTATTTTAATGAAAGATCCCGCAACACTTGTGGCAAAAATGATTCATCATAAAATGTGCCAGAGTGCTCAGGATGGATTTGTTTAGAGTATATTTAGTGCTTTTCTCTCTCAAGGTTTCAGGAGCCTGAACAATAAGAGGAAACTGCATGCCACGCCTCAGCAGAGCTACCTGAACCTTTCAGCAGAGGAAACTGGAAATAAGGCCTGAAGGCATGTTTTGTGTGTGCCATGCTTGACTTGTTGAAGACATGATGATGGGTGAATCATTTGATCTTTATGTATTTTCTCATTGCTCAGCCACCACCTACATGTAATATTTTATAGCCCTAACTCAAAATTTTTGATGTTAAAACTTTGAAACCAGAAACGCGTCTTCCTGTCAACTTTTGGTGGTCTGTATTCGACTCGACTACCTGTTAACTCCTTGGATTGGCATTTGCAGCCAAATGAAGTGAAAAAGCTTTTCTGTTTTCACAGAATCTTTTTTGGGAACAGTTTTAAGAGATGAAAAAAAAAGGGTGGGGAACCTGAATGAATAGGGTGTGTTTCTGTGATAACAAAAGATTATCCGTCTGTACTCAAGAGACGAACAATTTTCTGCTCACAAACCATCTGACACTGCCAAAACCAAAATACCTGTCTTGCTATCATCGACTGAGGCTTGGCCAGAAATGCTGACATTTCACCCCAAATACAGTTGTTTGCCAACAGATGCTAGACTTTATTTCTGAAAACCTTTGACACATGTCAGAAATATCTTCAGGTTAATTTCTATTCACTATTTTCTAGCATTAGTTACTTATTTTCTTAATAAGCTGGTACTGGTACAAGCTGGAGCTAAAAAGGCTGTATTAGGGTGTCTTAGGATGCTGAATACACTCACATCCTGTTGCTCCTCAGAGAGTCGTAACATCTGGATGTCCCATGCCTTAGTACTGAGGTCCTCTATCTGCATCCTCTTCATCTTGTGCTCCCACTCCAGCTGAATGATGCCCTTGCGGAAGTCTTTGCACTCCACCATTGTAGCTATCTTCAGCTGACCAAGCATCTGATCATAACAGATAATCATATGACAGACACTTTCATAACCAGTGTATCTGACCACCATGTGGATCTCCTTTTATCAAACCAAAAATTGTTAGTGTTGTATTTAATTAAGTGACAAGGGTATGTGCAGTTGTGATGCCTTGCATATCTTTGTATTTAGATCCATTATAAAAGTACACATCCTGTTGAGTGCCTGTGTGTCTGGTGGTAAAGTCTGACCCTGATGGTTCTGTTGAGGTCCTCCACCACACTCCTGTGGAGAAGTACAGAGTCCGTATAGTCAGCTGTCAGGTCTGTGGTAGATGCCTCCACCTGGCCCTGTTTGAGAAGGACCTGGACCATGATGTCTTTGTGAAAACGAATCTTCTCCTTATGAAGACTAGAAGAATGTTGGATATCAAAAACCACTGGTGGATTTGAGTTTAAAAACTAATATTATTTTTTTCTTTATGTCACCTTTTACTATTTTCTGTATTTTGAGCATTTGTTTATGGTCAAAGGTTACAGGGGCAGACAAATTTAAGAAGTACCCAAAAAAAGTTGTGTTTGTTATTTGCTTATAATCAGACAACATCACAGTCGTACCTCTCAAGTTTGTCAGAAAGATTTTTAATTTCCTGCT